GTCGATGAATCAACAGAGAGCATTTCTTGGAAACTACAATAACCCTAACCGTTTGTATCGATCTACAAACAGATGACGTAATTGTTCAGTTTTATTATTTCCATTAATGCATTAATAATGCATGTTGAGGAATGTAGTCACCTGAACAGCGTCTGTGCGGACAGAGATGTCGGCACAAAGACACGCATGGCAGAGGAAGCGATGGCACCGTCAAGACGAAACAGAACAAGTGGAAGAAGACATAAAATTAGAAACCTCCCAGCCATTAGTCTCCTTGTGTTAGACATATTCAATAACTAATGTCTCGTCGAGTGAAATCAGATTTTTTTTTTTTCGATCTCGCATGTCAAAAACGTTTTATTCTGAAGGACAGGAATGTTTCCCCGAGTAAAACTCCAGCTTTAAGAGCATCTGGTTTAGAAGATCTCAGCGGTGCAGCTTGAAAATATCTATCTGCAATCAAAAGAAGCAAACGCACTGGCGACTCTTCTGTAAGCGTGTGTGTGCGTGTCTGTGTGGGTGTGTGTGTGTTCAGCCCAGACACTGTCCTGCTGCTCACACTGGGCTGGTTGTGATTCTCTGAGTCAGATTTCAGTGACAGCCAATAAGAACCAGCTGTGAGGAGAGATGGAGGGGAAAAAATTGGTTCAGAGCCAGAAGTCAGTCTGAATGCTGCGTCTTTAGATCAATACCCAGCTGGTGTCTCCTCTCTCTGTTTCTCTCTCTCTCCGCGTCTCTAACAAAGATCCTTGTGTTGACCTCAATCAGGGCGAGGACGACCTTTGAGAAGGGTGGCATCCAAAATTATCTTGCTGAGGCAATCCCAGCTACCACAAAATATATATTTATACTGTATTCTCTACAGAGTATGAGAAAGAACAAAAAACAAATATCTTGTTTTTTCCTCTTTTGATGATATCCTAATTTGAATATTAGCTTGGAGCTAACAGGAAGGTGCCGATGTTTCCTTAAACAGTGCAACGCTTGACCGTCTCTAATAAAGCCATGCACTTTATGGATGCTAAAAACATAAAAGAGAAAAATATCCAGATACCTTTTGTGCATAAAATTGATGACGCTCAGCCGATGCATCCAGAAAAATATATGTGCAATTTTTTTAGCCAAGAAGGCCAACTAAAACATTTATGGAGCAAGCAGACAGGAAATAAGTCCTGAAGGAAGCGGCATGCTAGCTGCGCTAACGCTACAAGTCTGAGAGCGCCTAAAAGGTCAGTGATCCTCAAAAATCCACAACAGTGCAGTAGCAGATCTTCTGAATGACATAAACTAAATCTCTGTTTAAATATCGACGTTAATCATCTGACTGCAAGGTCAGCTACTAACTAGACCCCACCCTTAGCCGCTCACCATAGCAACAAGCCATAAAAGAAAAACCTAAACAGATCCCATTTATAACTGCATAGCTGCACACAAGCTAATGAAAACACATCCTTAAATGTCTTCTCCCAGGATGGGGATAGAAAAGCGTCTACTGGTGTTTAACCATGAAACCACACAACTGCAGGTAAACACATCAGAATTGTGAATGAACTCTCTAGTAAAGGTGAAATAGCCAGATGAATGCAGGCCTTTATATAGTTTTGTTGTTGTTGCTGTTGTTGTTTCCACAGTGTCAGGCGGCTGCCGGGACTTTTCTGTGAACCAGGGACACACAAACAGGAAGAGAGAGACACAAATGCTCCCCAACACACACACACACAGAAAATGCTGTTGGAGGCATCTCTCTGGTGGGCAATCCTTCCAATGCTCCCACCGCATCTGAAAATGCCACCGCAATTAGCGACAGACGTCCCCGTTGAGCTGTGCGGCGTGGGGTCGATTAACGTTCGTGAGGTGGCGCGGCGGAATCCGCCGAAGACATGAAGAGGACGGCTAATCGCATCACAGGCCCGCTATTCGCTGCGCGGCGCAGTGACACGTGGGACATATAATGGGGACGGGGGAGAAGGATGAGGCCATTTTCACTCCGGCTTGAGACCCAAGAGGGAGTTTCTGTGTCTCTGTCGCTCAGTAGCGGAGGAACAAGTGGGTCCTCCACAACCACCCAAAGGCCCCTCCGTCCTCACAGTCCACAGCCGACACCGCGCTCAGGCTAAACGAAGCTAACCTCTGGAGCGGTGTCAAATTCTGCTGCACCGACTCCAGCGGTGGTACTGGGCCGTCATGTCAGCTCACGATGCGACACCGGCCGTCTGCCCGCGGACAACAGAGACGCTGTTTGTTGACGATGACGATGAGTGGTGTCTGTGTCGCCGGCGGCTCCAGGGAATTATCGCTTCAACGTCGGGGGACAGTTAAGAGTCTCGGCCCGGACACCGAAAGAGTTCAGAAGAACCGGTCCCCAGAACGTCAAAGACAAGAAAGTCGTGGTGAAAGCCCAAATGTCCACCCAGAGTCCTTTCAGAGAGCAGAACCTTTAGCTAAATCAGCTTCAGTTGGATTCTTCTTGAAGCTTATTGCACCTTCCTGCCGCTGCTTTCTGCAACGCTCCGACTTCACACTCTTAATTTCAAGTTTGTTCCTTTGGCAGTAAACAGAAAATACTTTTTTTCCAACTGTTCATTAAGAAAACTTTCACATTCTTTTCTGCTGAGGGTCGTTTTATGGCAAAGAAAAATGACTATATGGTATAGTGGGTTTATGCCAATAAACTCAACATGTCTAATACTTAGGTTCATTTCACGTATTTATGATGCAAACATGAGATTGTCACTTTTTAATCACCTAAAAATTGTCAAAATACAATAAAATCAAGACTTAAACTCCACTTTAGTACCAAGTGGTGAGATAAATCTAGAGTCATCTAAAATCTCTGTAAAGAAAGTTTCAGCACATGGACTCAGTGTGTACGTCTAAAGGGATCATGGAATAAATCTATTGAATTTAATGGAAGGTTTAACTCAATATGCTATGCTCATGCATGAAATATTCTTCCTGTCTTTCCAAACAAAAGCATCACTGGGAGTCCAGCTGGCTAGCTGGTTAATTCACAATTCACACATTCATGAGTGGACCATCCAAACTCTGGTTCTGGTTGGACCTTCCTGGTGTCAACAGCCATCTTCACCATATCCATACCAAAAAAGCTACGTTTAAAAATGAAGGGTGCATTGATCAATCTGCCCTGACTTCCTTGACTTTGGATGATCGGTTGATACTTCAATGTAAAGCCGATCTTTTCCATAGATGATTGATTGAGGGACAGGCCCACCAGGTCACGTCTGCATGTTTGCAGTTAACAATGGTCCCCCCACTGCGGCCCACTCTGTGACATTCTTGATCTATATTGAAGAACATTTCAGACAATAACAACAAAATCAGCGTGGAACGAAATGCGAATCGGCAGGTTAGACTTTTAAAAGATCCGCAGTCAGCGATCGACTGCAATTGGTGCACCGCTATTAAAGAAAAAAAACAAGGATATGTTATCCAAACCTTCACATAACACAGCTTACAGTTGGGTCGTTGCACTGGACATTGCTAACCGTCTCTTAAACCAGCCTGAAGGAAGCGCAGCCCTAACAGTCCCTCACCGTGTTAAAGGTCATCTCTCCTGCCGCTGTCTGAAGCCGATTCTTTTGACCTTTACTCGGTTTCAGAGCAGAAAGAGACCCGGGCTGGTCAGACTTTACGGACCGGTGGCGGTGAGGCAGGTTTTTACTTAAACGTGTTTCTGTTCTCAGAAAAACAATCAACCCTCTTCGGCTCTGCCGTGAAGAAAATGGCTTCCCACGTCCAACCGTGTCACACTCCGGGCTGTGAGACCCGTCCCCCCCCCGTTCCGGTTCCTGTCAGATTAAAGCCAGTTTGTTGTTCACACTCCCTAAAGCCGCTGCTGCCGCTCCGCTCCTCTCCGTGGTGCTGAGGACGTCGCCCTGGCGACGGGTTACCAGGGCGAGATGCTGAGCTGCTGAGACCTTAAACGTTCTGCAGTGAAGTTTAAAGCCGTGCTTATGCTTTACACGGCCAATTTGACTCTTTTATGCATCGCCTCTACGAGAACGCTGCACTTTCATTGCACCGTGTTGATGTGCTTGCTTCACCAACCACCACATTTAAGCATTTCACTCAAAAAACGTGACCATCGACTGTTAAAAGAGACTCGTTTTTCTTTACTGCTCCATGCAAAACTTTCCAATTTTTTAAAAAACACTCCTGCATCTGCAGGTGAATGAGCCGCGTGTGACGGCAGGTGAATAATGCGAGCAGAAGCATGACAAAGGCAGCTCTCTGCTGCTGAGGGGTCGTCAAGGTGACTCCACAGCAAGGGCATCCACAGCTGATCTCTCTCTCTCTTACACACACACACACACACACACACACACACACACACACACACACACACACACACACACACACACACACACACACACACACACACACACCAAACACCTCCATCCCTGCTTGCTTTCCAGCTCCTACAGCAGCAGGAATTTGACAAAAGAAGCTTTGAGACCTGCAGCCCTGCAGGTGCAAAGTGGAGCAGCTGATGATCAACTCATCCACGTCTTTTAATTGCAATCAAAATGATTATTTTATATAGTCAATATTTTTTGGAAAAAATGCTCGTTCTCTACTGTTTGGTCACTTTTTTTGTTTGTGTGTTTTTCTTTGTATGTTCGTAGCGTTTTCGCGTCTTAAACATGTCGAGTTTGCACTTTGGAGCAGAAACCAGTTTGCCATTCCTCAGCGGTGTGAGCCGGTCGTCGTTTGGCCCCCCTGCTGCGCGGGAGAAACGCGCCGCTTCCGCGTGTGCGTGACGTTAAATGAGAAATAAGCTTTCAAAATGTGTAACTGGAAACAAAAGAAAGAAAGAAAGAAAGAAGAAGAAGCTTCGATTCATCCTCACTTTAGGTTTTCTTGGTGCAGAACTGAGATCTGCTCTCCAGACACAGCAGCGTGAATAATAATAATAATAATAATATAATAATAATAATAATAATAATAATAATAATAATAATAATAATAATAAAACTCACATAAGCAGATGAAATCACAGCATAGAGAGACACTCAGCTCCTTATCGCTGCGGATCCAGCGGCGCGTCAACGCGGTTTAATCCGTGATCGGTGCTGCTGGAGCCGGACGCAGATCCTCTGGTCCCTCCGTCCTTCTTCCCAGACGTTGTTATAAGTGAGGGAGACACCGAGCCGCCGCCGCAGCCGCTGCTGCTGCTGCTGGTGCTGGTGATGAGGAGGAGGAGGAGGAGGATGCTGCCGCCGCCTCCGGTGCAGGACCGGGAACCGCGAAGGCGCGTCCCCGACAGGCGTGCACGGCGGTCGGTCCGGGGGGTCCGGTTGTCAGCGAGCCGGTTCCGGTGCCGACCCGTGGAAACCGGGAGCGACTGTCAGCCGGGTTACATGACGACACAACGCAGCCCGCGACTAATTGGACCGGAGGCAGAAGCGCACGCGCCTTAAATTATTCAAGGTTTTTAAAAAACCACGTCGGACGAGAAAACCGACAAACATAACTACATGATGATGACGTAGAGGGAAACTCGTGGGGTTTTTTTTTTCTCCCCGTGATTTGAATGTAAATGTGTTGACTGGTTAAAATCTATGGAGCTGAAATAATCAATCTGATTAATCGCGATTAACTGATTATTCAAATACTCCTCAGCTAATTTACCAATCGATTAATCACTAATTGGAGCGTACCAACTGTACACCAAATGTATACATGTTGCATTATAGATCAAAAGCATCTGTGTGTAAACGTGTTGGACCCAGAACCTTTTGCTGTCAAGGTTTTAACTGGCCAATTGAAGTAATCGATTAGTCCTGCTCTGGGTTAATACAAACTGAAGAAGAAGAAAAAACTCATTTATGTATTTATTTAGCTGAGAATGCATCCTTTACCAGGCCATTGGCCTTTTCGAGAATAAAAGGTTTATTTGCTTACTGCCAAAAATAAATATTGAATTGTTTATTTTCATTTTTTTAAACGTAATTTTAATACTGTGCAAAATAAGATTAAGTGGTTAAAAGAAAGAAATTCGCATCACCCCTTTAAAATTCCAATTACTCAATTAATTGTCAGAATAAATCGATACTGAAAATAATCGTCAGCTGGGGCTCTAATGAAATCAGTCAGTCATCTTAAGGTTTTTTTTTAAAGTGTGGTGCAGTTTGCTACAAGCCTTGTCGTGCACTAGGTGCTCTGGTCTAATGAAACCAAAATTGAACCCTCTGGTCCAAAATGGATGTCAAACAGTGAAAGCTCATTCCAGTGGGGTCGGGTTTGATTTACAAGATTCTGGTCGAGGCTTCGGCCACTCAGAATTTTTTTTTTCTAAAAAACAGACAAACAAAAAAAAAATGGACCCAGAGCTGTTTTCATCCATGCAGGAGCGATCCAAATACTACTTTTACTCAAATGTCATTAATTACACTTCTTGTCTTTATGTTCCCAGCTTTCATTTCCTCTGTTGGTTTCTTCTTCTGCGCAGCTGCTGTTCAAACGTCCTGATCTCCTCAGATCTCTTCCGGTTTTATTACTCGATCCTGACTTTCACCATTCACAAAGTGCAAAGGTTGCTTCTGAAGAAATCGGACTGCATGGACGAGGCCTCTCGTTGTGCGGCTGACGCCCAATTGATGGTCGTTTGAAAGGTGAACTTGCGTTGGACAAGCTGAAGAGCCCAGGTCCTCTGTCACGGTCGGCGTGGCGATTCGATGTCACCTGTTAATCGGCTTAACAGGCAACGATTAAATAGCTAATCATCAAAAAAGAAAAGTCTTCATGTCATCGAAAGTTTAGGAGGAATCACAGTCGGGATTTTACTTTGAGCTGTCATGACATGACCTTCAACTGAAGTGTCTTTCATGGTAATTATATATATTATGATTTAGAACCTCAGATTGACCTGTTTGCTCCTGTTGCTAAGAGCAACTAGGAAACTAAAACTCTGAGCACACGAAGCTCGACAGGAAACTGACATTAGGAAGCCTTGTTTCGGTTCTGCAGGAGGTTCAGACAGAACAAGTCAGATGAACACATTCTCCTTCTGTTGCTGATAGCAGGTGCTGATGGAGCTGATCAGCTCGACGGCAGAGAGGGATGAAGATGGCGCTTCATTCCTGGTCAGCAGAGCGTTGTGACCTTCACGGGAATGATGGGAGGAAGTTTCCGTCCCAGAGGGAGCTGCGGGTCACCGCAGGACGTCCTGCTGCGGCACCACAAACTTCCTCTGGGACTGAAACCTGACAAGTGATGCACGGAGCACAGCATCCAGATAATGGGTAGCTTTGACCCAGATTGTGTGTCATATTGGAGCAAAAAGTTGCTTTGAATGAAGAGCGTCAAAGTTTAAAAGCACACGACCAACCTGGAGATTTTCTAATCTGAAACGGGCGTTTGGTGCCCTCTGCTGGTTGTTTGGAGAAAGTACAACTTCCTGTTGACTCAACCTGGTTTCCTGCGGCTTGAACGCAACACTGAAGCTCTAGAAGTAGAAACTGATCATCTGTAAAGCCACGTGTCCTTCCTAGATGTTCATCTGCTCTACCAGCTTCTAGTTTCAGTTTCACTCAAGTCTCCAGAGACGTTTGTAGGCGAGAACAGATCAGAGACCAAATGAAAGAAATAAAGTGTTGAAGTACATTTAAGATGATCTGTAATCCATTCTCCTATGTGAAAAAAGTGGATGACCAAAAAAAATGATGCAGAGCGGAGAAACTTGGATAGGTCCAAACGGCCCTTGAATCCTACGGCTGATGAGTGAGTGAATGTCCTGAGGTTAGCTGAGGAGTGGCCAGATAAACCAGAGTCCAATGTTCCCACTTTAATCAGAACATCACACAAACATATCGGACTGGTCATACAGCAGACAGGTCTTGGTTTCTGGCCTTGCTTTGGTTCCGGTTCCACTTTGATCAAAGCTGGGTTTCGTTACACTTTGAGGGCTTATTGTTTTACATCATACACCACCTTTAAGGACAGTTTTTTTTTTTTTTTTAATGTTTCTCAAAACAAAACCATGCTTAGAGTTTACCAAAGAATATTCGGAAGATGTAAATATGATGTATTTTGGCCATTGATCTCAGAGACTGAACTTGGGAACCTGTCGATCGAGGCAAATACCAGACTATAATGAGGAAACGGTTTCCACATGGAGGCGTGACAGTAGCAGCGTCATCACATGGGTGATCGTACCCATAGTGGAATTATGTGGATTGTGCTGAATGCCATATAATTTTGAAGGAAAACCTCTGGTCAGATTTGAAACTGAGAAGTTGAAATTCCTCCTTGTTTCTATTCAGTGATGCATATAGTTCATATGAGAAACATTAAAACAGTTGTCAATAGTGAAAAATCTCCAAAAGGTCATGTCCTAGTCAAAGATCATAATTTGGCAAGAATTCAAATATGTGGCATTAGCATGTAGCTGTCAAAGCATATTTGCTGTAAGGATGACAAAAATAATAATAATAATTCAGTGGTTAGATGAAAAAGGCTAAATGACTTCATGAGGTTTCCAGTTGTAATTCTGGGTTTTTTTTTTCTTTTTTATATATTTCGATTACAAAGCCCTCTGGTTAGTGATGCTGCTGATTCATGTTATTTTAGGGTTTTGTAAAATGCCAGTAATTGTTTGGCTTCCTGGTGAACAGAGATCTCAGTGGACAATGGACCCAAACTAATTTGCTGCTCAGGATTCATGGATTCGGAGCTCCCGCCTCACAGAGCAGCCCCGCCCCCACTCGGCTCCTTCAGACTAGCCAGCAGCAGCTAGCAAACACCTAGTGGGTCTGCTGAGCTCATTTATAGGAGCTTCTTCTCAGTGGAACGCAGGTAAAAATGTTGTTAAAGGGTTAATAGAGGAGCCATGTTGTGATGACTTTCTGAAGGCGGAGTTTTACAAAGAGCAGGAGCTTCTTAAAGAGACAGAGGCCCAATTTCAAGGTGCGAAATTACAAAGTCAAACTTATGTATTTGACCTATATATAAATGTCTATATAGAGAGAGGTTTTATACGTCAATTGAAGGTAACATACTTGATTATGCTATAAAATGCCACTTTCTTCCTGGAAAACGGTGATTACTGCCCCTTTAAAGAAGAAGAGACAACTTTAGAGAACCAGCTGAAATCAAAACACGTGTCCATTTTAGTAAAACATGGAACTTGAGAAATTTTTTTGGGCCTTCCAAACCGATGGGAAGTGTCAGCCATCTGCTGCAAAGTCACTAAAGAAACTTCCTGCCTGTCACCACATGTCCAGCGCTGGTCTTTCCAGCAAATAAACCAGCCAAACGTCTCCCTCGCGTTTCTTTCAAATGCCGATTTGCAGCCTCAGCGAATTCTTTCTTCTTTTTTTTTTTCTTTTGCAACTTTTATTCTCTCTGCGTCTTTAATTACACTGTTGATGTTGCAGAGACCAAACAACCCCGGGAAGTTCCCACATCCTCCTGGCGGGGCAGGTAAGACGGCCGAGTTCACATGTGAGCTCTGCTTACCTCGCACCAGATTTCCTCAATCTGAGCGAAGCAGACGGCTGAGGAGTTCACACACGTTCACGCGCCTGTTCTTGCATGATGCATTTAATGATCACTGCATTCATTATTTTGGGAAGTTGTGTTCTTCCCTAAAGCAAAAGCAGCAGCACGGTGTGGGTTTCATTCAGCACAGCTCACCGCAAACAGAACTCTGGTGACAGAGATAAAAATAGTAAGACAGAAATTTGATATTTTATCGTCTTCAGATAATATTTAGTGCTGCACAATTCATCATGAGCGCATTGTCTTCGCAAAACGTCGTCGAGTCGAGTTGACACAAATGAAAGTGCACCAGATGTTCAAGGTCAGAGAGAGAGAGAGCTGGAGGCAGGAGAAAGCCAGGAGTGAGGAAGATTTGTCTCAACTGAAGTCGTCATTGAGTCATTTTGTGAGAATGATGATCTAATACAGAGCAGTCCTAATGTTTTGCCTGAAGTTACACCCATGAGCTGCAGATTAATGACAGCCATGTTTGATAAAAACCGTGTTAGCACTTAGTAGTTATAGCTGAAAGTAACAAGTTGGAGCTTCTTTTACCTTCAGAACTCTTTTGTTCTTCCCAATATAGAGTCCAAAAGGTCTTGGAAACATTCCTTAGATCAAGGAGTTAGTGATTTTCAGCTGTTTCATTGCAGATTGAATACAGTGGATGAGATGATAAAGTAAATCCAAAAGGAACGGACCCCAAACCACGGAGAGTTGAGTCAAGTCTAAACATCCTTCAGATGTGCTAGTAGAAACGGGGCAATGCATTCTCACTCCTAGAGCCACCTTTAAAGGTGCTCCTTAAGACTAGCCAGGAGCAATTAGCAAACACCCAGTGAAACTGAGCATCTGCTGAGCTCATTATAGGAGCTTCTTCTCAGTGGAACGCTGGTAAAAACTTGGTTAAAGGGTTAATAGAGGAGCCATGTTGTGATGACTTCCTCAAGGTGGCATTTCAGAAAGAGCAGGAGCTTCTTAAAGAGACAGAGGGCTAATTTCAAGGCATTAAATTACAAAGTTGATTTTTTTTACATCGTATGTAGTATTTTAGAATAACTGAAGATAACAGTTACTTTATTTTTATAAAATGCCATTATACACATCATCCCTTTGAAAGCTGCAGCAGCGCAGCTCTGGTGGTTCCTGCTAGCAGAAAGCCAGCAGTCAAAGACGTGATTTTATCAGCTGAATAAATACATGTGGCTTTTATAGTTTCATCATACATTCTACTTCCCGTACAGTGCAGGTATTAACGCGTCAACATTCCTTACAGTTGCTTAAAACAACCTTTAATCTCACAGATCAAGAAAAACGAGGCGCCTCCATCCTAAATAACCCCCATTAGTCTCTATTGATCAGTTTTTTCTCAAGAAAAAAACCCCCGGAGTTTCTACATGTTGGTGCCTCACTTTGCAACATGTTTTTGGTGCTTTGCGAACTTTTGAGTGCCCTGCAGCAAATGTTGGTGCAACACTCAGCAGCAGCAGGAGAAGGAAACCAACCCAGATGAGAATTTCCAGCGGCTGAGCGGAGTTTCCAGTGTGGGCGGGGTTTCCAGTGTGGGCGGGGTTTCCAGTGTGGGCGGGGTTTCCAGTCTAGGCTGGTTTCCAGTCTAGGCTGGTTTCCAGTTCCTCTGCAGGCCGATGGGGTGTCAGACTCGCTCCCTGCCGCGGCCACAGAGTCATAGCTGCACGCGGCCGGGGACAGGATGGCCGTCCTGCTGGATCTAACCCGCTGCTGCCGCTGCGACCCCCCCACCTCTCCGCTGCAGGCCGCGGACTCGCACGTCTTCCTGCTGTACGGCGCGGAGAGCCGCCGGCGTCAGACCGGCCTCACGGACCCGTCTCCGGGCTCCAGCAGGAGCCTTCACGTCCTGGACTCCGGCTCCACGGCGGAGCGTCTGTACCGACTGAAGCGGACCCTGGATGATCTGGACCTGAGTGCGGTCAGGGTGCTGACCACGGCGCGGGGCAGGGAGGTGCTGGCCCGGTACCAGGAGATGCTCTTTACCGCCGTTTATACCTTCGATTACAACGTGACGCAGCCGGACCGGCTGACCTGTTCGGACTGCCGTGGCTCCGCCCACACGGACTCACCTGAGGGCGAGGCGGAGGACCAGGTGTCTGCCTTTCTGCAGCAGCTGCCCGCTTTGAAGGGAGACGTCAGAACCCTGAGGTCCACTTTGATCCCAGGTGGGCTTCAGCAGAGGTTTTTATTTATTTATTGATTGATTTTTAAAAGTGGTTTTAAGATTGTTCTACGATTAGACAAAAACAAATCACCTGATTTATTTGATGAGCCTTTTCTCAACCAAAACAGCATCAAAGATCACAAAGATATTGTAAGTTTCCTCATTGGATCTTAATCATCAGGGCCGGATTCACAAGGATGTGGGGCCTTGGGCTGGAGCAACTTTTGGTGCCCTATGAACACCAAGTGAAAACGGTTTAACTAATGAAAATTAGTAAAATAACTGGCAGGGGCCAATCTATGCACAGCAGGGTTAATAAGTCCCGAGTCCAATAAGTCAATGTTGATCCAAAAGAAATTGACGATAACGTCATCATTTCCCAATATTTGAATGTTTATACTCAAAATATTAACACAACTCACTGACTGTCAGCCTATAACATCTTTATAAAGTCGAATGTTTACAAAACGGACTTAAAGAAAAAAAAAAAATTTTTTGGACGCCACCCCCCAAAAAATCAGAGCCCTGGGCTACTTCCTCATAACCGTTTCTAAAGTCTAACCCAGTGAATAACTGTGTGATTTGTGTATAACTGAGCTGCATGTCAGCACAGAAGATAAATACATCAAAACATCCAATGTGACTACAAATTATCCAGTAAATACCAGATTGATAGTTTTCTAAGGTCGACCATTATAAAAATGTTTTTACAACAAACCCCACCTCAGTGGACAGCAGGGTGTCCAATGCTGCCACCATGACAGAGCTTTTAATAGAGCAGCATAACAAAACTTTGACTTTTTAAAAAAAGTTTATTGTGTTTGTCAATAAATAAAAAGTGAAATCAGCACAAATGGGGTGGGGGGAGGGAAGGCGGGGGTGTTATTATGGTGACCCATAATAATAGCTGAGTTTTTTTCCAAATGAAAGGTATGACTAATGACTAATTACAAACGTCTGTACTGTAAGAAACAAAGCTACAGAGACTATTTGTCAGTAAAGCTGGACATTGTCCGTCTCCTCCGTCTCTCTCAGAATGCTTCGGTCACGGCTTCAGCACCCGTTCAGGCGGCGTCTCCTACATCCCCACTCTGTCCTCCTTGAACCTGTTCAGCAGCAGCAGGAGGAGGGACCCCCCCGCCGTGGTGGAAGAAAACAGGCGCCGGCTGGCCGTTCACGCCGGCTTCCATCCCCTTCCCCTGCGTCTGGTCAAGGTACGTTGTTGTAAAACAAACGAACAAAAAAAGCCTCTACGGTGCACGTGATTCGCCTGTTGACCATAAACCCTGACTGCGGTGCGCTCCCCGCCATGACTGTCCTGTCCTGCAGGTGAACCACGCCAGCGACGTTTGGGTTTTGGGGAAACCTGAGCCGGAGAGCTACGACTCCATGGTGACCGATCAGACGGGCATCGTTCTGGGGGTCAGGGCGCCGACTGCTTGCCCATCTTGTTTGCCGATCCTGTGAAGAAGGTCATCGGGCCGCACATGCAGGTGAACGAATACTCTGACGCTCCGGATTCATCGCAGCAAAGTTAGAAATGCACAATATGTCTGCGGTACTGGTCATGTAGTTTGACTACACAAAAATCCTCGGGTTTTTTTCACCATTAAGAAACTTGCTGTTCTGACCACTTCCTGTCGTCCTCATCTTAGTTTCTGCCAGTGGCAACATCCTGTTGTCGATCGCGTGACCCGACTAATGCAAAAAAGAAAAAGGATTTTCATTATGGTTTTTTGAAATGAACCAATTTTCATGCAGCAAAAACATAACTTTATACCAAAAAATTGTTATGCTTCCATTACAGATTTATTTTGAAATGTCAAACCGCACAACTATATAGCCACTGTAGACGCAGCTGCTTTTTAATACTTCACACCCAGACGTCTCCTTCTCTGACTAATTTCTCTCTTTTCCCAGGTTGGAGAGGGACCTTGATGGGCGTGGCCACGGCAACGGTGGACGCCATGGTGACGAATTTTGGCTGTCGGTACGGCGACATCGTGGTGGCGGTGGGGCCGTCGGTGGGGGTGTGCTGCTTCACGCTGGACAGAGAGCAGGCAGCAGACTTCATCTCCATCCATCCAGACTGCGTTCCTGATCCGGAGTCGGCCAGGCCACACGTGGACATCCTCCTCGCCAACAGGTACGGAAAAAACAATATGACGCAGATAAACATCTTAAACGGCGTATGTTCGGTACGTTAGTCGCTGACCGGTCACCGCTCCCAGAGTTCTCCTCCAGCGCCGCGGCGTCCTTCCAGAACACATCCACGACAACACGGAGACCACCCGGCCCCCCGTGACGCCCTGCACCTCCTGCAACCCCGACGACTTCTTCTCCCACGTCAGAGACGGCGTCAACTTCGGCACCCAAGTGGGTTTCCTGTGGATCAAGGAGAGTGGAGAAGCGGCCAGCGCTCCGGGCGGCCAGACGGGTCAACGGGGCGGACCTTAAGACGAGGAGATAAACCAAAACTCGACCGCCGAGAACTTCATTCAGTCAAACCCGACGGGTCGGGTTCCAGATGCCGGCAAAGCAAATCTGAGTGATTCTTTGGGAAACTGTGAGGAAGAACTATAATCCAGTAGATTACATACTGCAGAACACCTTCAAAGGACAAAACAGCTGGAATAAACTACCAGAGCTGTGACTGTGACTCCAGCTGTGGACAGATGAGTGAAACGTGGCTGAATGTTCCCATTGTTACTTATGAAAGCAAAACAACACAGAGCTTATAGATATAAATTGCCCGAGTCAAGACAAAACACTGCAGCAGGTACTAGAACAGAGAGATTCTTTTCCAATCTTTTCTGCTCAGTGGTCATTTTATTACAGCTTATAAAACATTCAGTTTTTAACGGACCACAGAATCTGGAATAAACTTCTAGAAAACTGCAACGATGCAGAAAAATTGGCTTCCTGTGATTCACTGTAACTGGAGCGTTGATAAATATATTTGTGTGATGATTTTGAAAATGCCATTTGACAAAATGTGTGGCTTATTTGTCCTTCCTTACATGGTTCCTGCATCATGTTTATGTGACGTGCAGCACTTTGAACAGCCCAGTTGCTGATATATTCTGTGTAAATAAATCTGACTTAAAGAGTAAATGTTATGAGCTATGAGCAAGTTTACTTACAATTTCATGAGATATTATTTAAATGAGACAAAACTCGTTGTTCTGGGGTAGGGAAAGCATTTATTTGAAGGGGAAAAGCCTTCATTTGTGATAAAGGCAGCCCTTTTTTTAAGAAAGAAAAGAAAAAAAAAAGAAAATTAAATGTTTTTACTATTTCACTGCTTTTCACCTCAGTACTAAAATAAAAACACAAACGCCACGTAAGTACAGAAGCATGAGTTCAAATACATGAAGAGAAACGGGCCGAGGTCAGAGGTCAGAGGTCAGATCACCTGAACAATGCTAACAGTGACGAGACCGACAGCTACGCTGTTTGACTCTGATCATGTGACAAAGTTTCCTTCTGGTGGAAGGAAACGTGCTGCTGCCAGAACGTTGATCAGAACACGAAACCAGACAAGCTGTGAGAAAACAGGTCAATAAATGAAGAGGTGAACCCAAATGCATCCTTCAGTGACTCGGTTTTAAAGTCGTCATTATCAAGGCCAGCTCTTCTGGTTTAGTGCAATCTTCAGAAAACAAAGTTGATTCTTCGAGTGCTTTATTGAGATGCAGGTAAATACGAGTCAGCATGGGAACGGGATTTTCTTCAAAAACAATAAAGACCATGTAAGGGTAGTTTGTCGAGATCTTTTGATTTTATTAATAGTTATTTTTGCTCTATTTGGTTATTCAGTCTTTTATTCTTCATTTTCATAAATTAGGTAACTAAAGACAAAAGAGGGCTGTTCAGTTTGTTCCCCATAGTAAGCAGTAGATCAGGAGCCATGTTGGTGGCAGCAGCTTCAGCACTTCCTGCTGAAGGAAAAGGCAAGTCCAGAGTTACCAAGACAACAGACCCCAGGAGGAATCAAAACATTCATGAAAATCCTTAATGGTTTAATTTGAGAGACCATGAACTTTCTGGCTTGTTTGGAAAAAAAAATAAAAGTTCTATTACACGTTTGGCTCTTTTCCAAAAGCAACGCAGCTCAACACAGTTCGACTGGTTTTCCATAAATTGAGTAAAGACTCTAGTGGGTGGAGTTATCATTCCTGCCAGTGGAAAGTAGTGAGACACTCACAACAATGGAGGACATGGAAGCTACGCTAAACACTGCCGGGTCTGCCATTGTTACAGATACACTCAGTCGCTGTTGTCTTTAAAAATGGCGGGTCGGATTATCGTAAAGCGAGCCGGCTGGTTCAGTTGCTAGAACGTGTGCATCATACACAGAGCAGCGCGGTTGACCTGAATTTAACCTCTGGTGTCAGGTCCTTTTCCACTTCTCTATTCTACCTGTGTGTGTGGCTTTTTTTTCTGTCTACTTACTGTTCAATAAAGCCCACTAGTGCACCACCCACCCAAAAGTCTTTATTAAAAAAGGGGGGTAGTCGTTTTTTTGTTGCAACCTCTGTCCACTAGCCTAGCCAATTAGTGACCAAAAATCTTGTTTTTTGTTTCAGCTGCCAGAGCAGAAACGGTCATAGAGAAGTGAGGAAAGACATGTGGCAAAGATACCGGTAGTTAAACTCCAGTCAACCGAGTCCATTTCTGTAGCCTCCATCGACGAGTCGCGTGCTCTAAAGCCCCTACCGACACTTTTCTGACATCATCTACAACCCCCAGAGAAGAATGTTCTAGAAAAGTGTCTGATTCCACATAGGTGGATATCCCTGAGAACCACATAGAGCCAAGCAAGGGTGTGACTTTGTGTTGCAAGTCGGTAGGGATGAAGAGGAGCAGGGGAACGGTAGCGGGGTTCGGGTGCTGCTGTCCCCACAGTCACTGCAAGGCCTTTTCTTTTCTAGTGCTAAGAATAAAGCCAAAACTTACATGTGAATGCCAGATGGTCTTATTCAATAAATTAAGATATGATGTGTCTTTAATATAGCAAATAGTAAAGACAAAACCTTTTTTGGGTCTGGTTGGTGAGTAGAGTGACCATCGATGTTAAGGGATTCTATAAAATGTGGCTTAAGCTGAGATGCTGATGTTTGGATATGTAAAATATCTATTTTCTTTGCTAATAAATCTATAGTTTGGCGTCTGTCAGTTCTAGAAACAAGAGCGAACAAAGTGAATTTCTCTTTATAATGCCCCATAATTTAATTTTACTTAATAGGAGCCATAATTTAAAATTCAACAAACTATATGCTTCACGAAATATTTCATCCTATTTGATGATTGCTCAGAAAATCGCCACGATCTTTGATCAAATGATGTGATTTGTCCAGGGGAAAAATGTAGAAAAACAGATAGTAATGCATCTATGTCGAGTTACAAGAAAAGGTGCAGAGAGCATTGGTGGGGACTGTCCCCTTCATGCCGGAGTTGGTGGGGACATCAGGACTTATGGAGACAAGTCAAGCTGCTGTGAGCAGGTGCAAGTGGAAAAGGGCCAACATAACCCCACCTGACAACAAAACCACAGGAACTCACAGTCACAGAGAAGATTTGAAAAGTTTAGCATACAAACACTGAATCTGTTTTTGACACTACTGACAACGATGAAAAGCGCAACCGATGTCAACCCTTCCAAAAAAACAAAGAAAAACATTTTATGTGTACCTTTACAGCATACAAGCATTTCTCAGTCTCCCGTCACAAAAACCGGGTCATTTGTTCTGCAGTGAAATTAACATGTCACATCACACAGAAGTTTGGCTGTAGCTTCCTCTCCGGTTTGTCAACTTAAAGACTTTAGATGCTGTACCGAGGACCAGTTCAGACAAAGTGGTCTTTAGCTCAATGGGTTGCATTTTAAAAAAAACAAAAAACAATCATGTACAAAACTGCAAAACATCTTTTGCATTAGATTTGTCCAACATCACAATTGAGCTGATTAAAACAGTCCTTCAGTTTCTTTTGGGGTCCATGTTAAAGTCAGAAGCACCGCTGCGTTCCTGCCGGTGTTGTCCGTCAGTGACTCTGACATCTGCCTGATGTTTAACCCAAAGTAGAGACAGGTATTGGAAAACATTGGAGGGTCTAAATCCCTTCTTAGCACATGAGAATACTGATCCAGAGTTTAACAGTATAGTTTCACCATAAGATACCTGTGGGCATCACCAACCGTCGTTTGTTCTGCAAAAAGCAGCAGCTTTCCTTGTAGCTTACAGCAATCGAAAGACTTTCGCAACTGGTGGGAAAACAAAAGGTGGGTTTAGATCTGCCTAGAAGTGTCAGGAAACCGTTCAAACCGAATGCAACGCTGTGGCAACTTCAATCGGACATTGACACGGCACTGGGACGTCCCAAGCACCAAAGGTCTGGCACAGTTTTATGTTAGATTGTACACGTTCAAGTAGGAATTTTGCTGCCCGTTTTTTTTTTTTTTTTCCTTTCTCAAAAGTCAGAATTCACAGTCCAAACTGTGAAGCGTACCGCTTTTCCTATTTAAATAGATTTTCATGGGAGGTCAAAGAAAGTGCTTCAGTGATTATAGTTTTTAACCAGCCAATTGGACTACAAAGAAATTTTTTTTTTCTGAGGTGAATAAAACCAAGACACCGATAACTTGACTGTGACGAGATCCAGGTTCTGACTTTGAATGTAAAAGCGGCTCAGCAGAAATTCAGCATGCTTCGAAAAAAAGACACGAGTTCTCAACACGCTGCAGTACCTTCATGTGAACAGCTTATCCCAACAAGAGCTACAGATTCATCCAATGACTTCATTCATGAAACACCAGGCCTGCTCACCACAAGAGAGGTAATTCATTTAAACACCAGGTACTCCACCTCACACACGTATCATTTAAAACGTTTCCATATGATGGATTGCCTCACGTTCTAAAGCTTTAAACTGTTCCCCACAGCTGCCAGCAGGGGTCAGCAAACAGCACAGATTCCAGACTTGCCTCAGGAGGGTGTTCTGGTGTAAAAATCCAAAAACAAAAACAAACGTCCCAAAAACAAAAACAAACGTTCCTCTTTGTTCCCATCTGAGATGAATGAACAAAAACAAAACAAAATGTCCAAGAGGAGATTTGAAATCCAGCTGCAGTGTTGATATTGTCGATTCTACGTCTAGTGCAACATGAAAGGAGGAAAATAAATATAAAACCTGAGCTTTGAGAAGTTGAAAAAAAATGTTACAATGGGTTCAAGCTGGAGAGATTCCATGCATCGTGTTCCTCCTTCACCGGGAGAAAGTCGAACACCTCGCTGCGTTTTACTCAGTGCGGCGCTCGGGAGGAGTGCGACAGATGTCACGGTCGGAAGTTGTCCAGTCAGACAGTCAGTTCTCCAAACCATATTGTAGACAAAAAAACCAACATAAAAATCTTAAAAATGCACACGGGGTCAATGCGACCACGTCAGAATGCGCACACGGTAAAAAACTTGCGGGGTCCAAATGACCCCGTCTCATAAGACCGTGTGAGGGCTCCATTGAAATAAAATTTGATTTCATTTGAATCAAATGAGTGTTCTGTTCCCTGCAATATAAGAGTTATAAAAACATGTTTACATGCACTGCAAAAAACACGAGGGAACTAACGCTGACTTCCTCTTGTACTTACAAGTCAAACTAATTAATATTCTGAGTCAGGAAAAATAACTAGAACACTTCTCGAAGTTAGAAATCTGCCTTGAAGCATCAGAGTTCCCTGGGCTACTCAGATTGAATTCAAAATGGCCACCGGCCATTTAAAATGCTGATAGCAACAGGAGGATAAACCATTTGTTATTGTGCCTGTCCGCTGGTATGCCATTAAATACCAAGTACTACTGTTCTGCATTTATTTCTGCCAGGTCTTCTTTGGTATCTAGAAGCAAAAAAACAAAAACGAAGCATCTTGTGCTACTAAACAAGGTTAGCATGCTAACTAGCCACAATGACAATAAATCTCAGTGGCTTTCTGAATTGCAGCTGAAAAGATCTCAACTGTGGCATCATTCACAAATCCAAGATTTGGGAATGACTTGCCTGAAATTTGAAGGGCAACACAACAAATCTAGCAATTATCTGAGCAATCTTAAGTTCTTAGGAGAGTTTGGTAGCATTAGCACATCCTGACAGGCAGATCTGATTTGATCGATCAGTGGATTAGAGATTGCATTGTGGGTCGCAGTAAAAATGACTAATTTTAAATAATTCTACATATTTACATCAATATAAACGCACCACAGCCTTGAAAAGAGAGAAGTATTGGTTCATAACATGCGCATTTAATACGAACAGTTCACCTGCAAGTAACCAGATAAGCTGCCACATTTAAACAACCGTACCTCCCTTAGCCAGCGGTAACCTTTCGAAACAAGTAGATGTGCACTGTTTACATTCAGATTACAGTGACCGTGGTTCTCAATTACACACACACACACACGCAAAAAGAGTGCAACCTTGTTTTTGAAGTGCATGTAAACACATCCTTTTGTGGCAGATGGTTTCGAGAGAAGCAGACACAGTTTTGTCATTGGAAAAACCCAGACAGAAGGAATGGAAGAGCAAAGATCCTGAGAGGAAAAACATTGAGTCCAAGGAGGAAACGATAAAAGAGGAGCGGAGAGAGAGAGAGAGACAGAGTCAAAAGGTTGTTTTTTCCCAGCTTCAGGTTAAAGGAAAGAAAACCAAATGCAGAAGAAAAACAAGGTGTCATCAAGTCTTCTGAGGGCTACAGTACAGTAGAGTTTTAGCTACCTTATTGTGAGTGTGTGTGTGTGTGTGAGTGTGTGTGTGTCATCAGCTCCAGTGACAGATCAGCAGTCCAGCCACTAAAGGGAGCAGGTTGAGCAGAAGGAGCCAGAGAGTGATGCCCAGACCTGGAACTGGAGCAGGGATCTGAAAGCAAACAAACACAGATAATTAACGTTGGGTTCTTAACAGGGATGAAAACTATTAATTGAATGACATTTAAATGTCGATTAAGTTCTAATGTCTGCTTAGGACTTCTTTTCGTGTTGTAGTTTGGCCTACTGCACAGAAGAGGGCGCCACTGGTCATTCTTAAGACGAGACAGCAGACACAGGAATTAAAGAAGGCAGAGCCATGTCAGAATGAGAAAGACAAGCGATCCGAACATTGTCCAGTGTGGGATGAAAAATGGCTTTTGTGCTACGAAGGTCAGGATGTGGCCACAGAAACGCAGGGGGTGGAAACTGTAACACGTCAAAAAAAGACGATAAAAAAACACGGTTGATTTTGAGGGCTGTCCTGAGAAAATGAACTTAATGTAGCAAAGTTTTAACCTTCCTTCAAGAGCAACCAGTCTATATGAACATGTATATGTTGACGGGGAGATGAGTGTTAAACATATTTTTAAAAAGTACTGCATTTATCCCAAAGGGAAATTAAATCATTACATTTAAATTAATTATTCTTTTCACATTTTACATTTCTATTTAGCAACCTAAGAAGTTCCTGTTTTATAAATACGTTTAGCATTGTCAGAGTCACATTTTAATGTTTATTCTGTCAGTTTTTAATACAGCTGACACAAAATAATAATTTTATTATTTTTTTAAATTCAGCATATTAAAAATGGAGCCTTTCATCTTCTAGGAAGATGGTCGGACCTTTTGATACAAGTGAGAACTCAGGTTTTTGGTTTGTTCTTATTTATCGTCAGTCAGTCTAATCAGTCAGTTACCTGCAGATTAAATCATTAATCGATAACTTTTTGTGTTAGCAACCGAGTGAAACTGACCGATGGGCTTGTTCCTGGAGTTGTTGACGGGCAGGAGCTGGTGGGGCAGGGGGCAGTTGTCACAGAAGTCGGTGCAGGCGGGGCAGAGCAGGACCCCGTTGTAAACCCAGTCGTTGAGCCAGACGCTGACGCTCAGCTGCTGACCTTTCCTCACGCACAGGAAGGAGCGGTCCTGAACGTACACCGTCAGGCCCTGAGGCGAGCACGAAACCTGCAGGCGGGGCAGCAACAGCGGTCAGCTCTGTGTGAACTCTGACCGCGGTTCAAGAACGTTACAAATTTGGCCCTCTGGTGGACACGTTTTGTCTTTTTTTTTTTTTTTTAGCATGAGAATTTCAACCGTAAATTTTTGTTCTTCTTCAAAGGAAACTGTCGGACACAAAACGTTTTTCCTTTAATAGTTGTGTTTGTGATTTTACATTCATAGTAAGTAGAGCTGTCAACATCTAGCAACGTTTTACCCAAAAAAAGACAAGAACACATTAATTCTCTTTGTTGGTGGGAATAGAATAAAAATATTTTCTAGACCAAATAAACTGAAATTACTCTCAATGTTAGGAAACTGTCTGCCTTTTATGAAGCACTGGCGCCAACCTGTGGCAGTTGGAATCAAAATAGAAAAAAGGTTGCTGACCCAACCTCTTATTGCTTAAACTAAAATCGTTATGCATTCTTCGCACCTCAAAAAAAAAAAAAAAAATATATATATATATATATGTTTTTGTTAACCTTGTTGGCAGCATACTTTAAGTCACGACTTAAAACTTTTTATGCAACTTTGTAAGTAATTACAGATGTATATATTTTCTTTTAAAGCAGACGTGACAGACGTCTCAGCAGACTCCGGGTGGTTCTTCGCTACATGAGGACAAACTGAAAGCACCTGGTAGCATCCGGAGCCCCAGTCTGGATACGTCATCTTCCTGGTGCACTGCTCCATGACGAAGGCCGACTTCTGGTACAGACACACAGAGTGTGGGCCGTACTGCTCTGCTCCATAATTCCTCCATGAGTCTACAAACACACAGATATCAGCTGATGTTCAGAGCACTAGATTCTAGTCGTTATCATCTTTGCGATGTGAGCAGGACCTGGCTGGTTCTCCGACACTCTGCAGTACGAGTTTCGTTGATATTCTCCGCTGAGGTGCCAGCTGAACTCCTGGCTGAAGGGGCAGAAATCGGCGATCTCCACAGCACCCCCGAAGGACGTCAGCTGATCTGCAGCAACGTTCGGGATCCGATCGAAATACTGACAAAACAACGAGGCACTTGGGAATGAATGTCTTTTCTTAGTTATTTATTGTTTGGGAGTATCCATTTTTTGGGTTTTCATTTATTGGTTAATTCTATTGAAAAAATATCCAATCTGTACATTTTCCAAAAAGTCTATAGCCAGTTATTTAGAAAATGTAGTGATGATCTACAAAGTCAACTTTAGACACAAAGTGGCCAAGAAATGGCTGCTGGGAAAAAGTTTTTGACTTACTTGGTATTCCAGGGGCAACTGCTGGGGGTATTTCTGTAAGTTGCAGACAGCCACTGCCAGCTGGTCGTGTCTGCAGGTCAGCTGCAGAGGAGAGTCCCGCACCGTGTCACAGAATGGGTCACAGGGTGCCGCCTGCCGACAACAGTGAAGGGATAAACTGAGAAAGTGAAGCATGATCAGAAAATATCAGAAAGAAAAAATTAAAGGGGTACTATTTTGTGTATTCTAGCCACGTAGTGACATTTTATAGCATAATAAAGTAGGTATATATAAAATGACTTGAAAGAAATTTTACATAATAGTTTAATGGCTTTAAATTGGGCCTCTGTCTCTAAAAGCTCCTCCTCTTTCAGAAACACCGCTCTCACAAAGTCATCACAACATGGCTCCTCTACCTTTAGCAACATTTTTACCAGCGATTCACTCAGATGTAGCTCCTGTAATGAGCTCAGCAGATGAGCAGGTCCACCAGGTGTTTGCTAATTGCTGCTGGCTAGTCTGAAGGAGCTGAGTGGGGGAGTCAGAGCAGAGATGTGAAACCTTGGAATCTGCAGCTTTAAGGAAAAGCTTCGTCCTTGTACTTCCATCCAGGCATTTTTCACAGCTGAATGGTTGCCATAGAGATTAAAGGATTTCTTAAACGTGCATGCAAGAATCAAGGCAAAACTTCGGGTGTGTTTTTGATGAGGGAATAATATTATAACATTGTGTAAAGCTCAAAAAAGTCAATTTTGCATAACAGAACAAACTCAGATTACTTATCCTGATATTTTTTATGACGGACTGCTTGGTAGGGAAAATTTGACAACCAAACTATTAAATAAAAACAACTCTGAGAGTTGGCACTAAAAATACCAAAAGCTGACATCTGGAATTGTTATCATTATTATTAAAACAGCACCTCTGCTTCTGTTTGTCCATCCAAAACTTGCAGCTCTTCATAACAAAGTCGCAGCCGAGGCCGCGGCCCCAGTCCAGCCTCTGTGCCATGCTGTAGTTGGCCCGGTACCAGCCGCTGTCTTCCATGATAGCCAGCGTGAGGCGGGAAAACACCCGTTCTGGGTGTGGGAGCCCGTCATGGCCTCGTTCTGGAGAGAGTGGTACGGGATCACGAGGAGGAGAGAACAAGTATTTGGTGTTTAGTAAAACGCAGAGGGTGGGTGAGAAGGTACGGACCTCCAGCAGCCGCTTCTCCCAGTGGTTGAGCTCGGTTCCCGTCCCGCCCTGGTTCTCCAGCTCCATCCCCTCCAGGATGGGGCAGCTGAAGTGCCTCCTGGCCTCTTCCTGCAGGAGCGACACAGACAACCCTGTGACTCCGTCACATCCGCTAAACCAACATCCAGACCAAACTGAAGTATCACTGAGCACATCGAGGCTCACTGGGTTTTCTGCCAAGTTAACAGAGTTCAGCTGAAATGCTGTTAGGAAAACGGACAGAAAAGAACGAAAATGGACACAAAGAACATTTTGGACACAGTGGGCATACAAAGCAGGAGTGTCAAACTCATTTTCATTTTGGGCCAAATCAAGAATCTGAATGTTCTTAAAAGGCCGGAATGTATTAATAAAACCAATTAAATTGTTCAAATATCAATAAATAGCTGTTTGTTTCAGCATTCAATAAGTGTTTATCAAAATTAAATTATTTTTACACTGATCATCCAGGAAGTTGTGATTTTTTGGTTTTTTTCCAGATTTTGTATATTTTTCATTTGCTCACAGTTTGGGATTAATCAGATTCAACAATGGCTGTGTTGTCTTTTGAGCAAACTGACTTTTTTTACAGTGCATACTCAAATTGACCATAAGTCAATTATGTGAATAATCAATTCATCACAGTTGCTCTGGGAGGCAGAAGCCCAGGAGTTTGGAAAATGCAACTCAGAGGCGGAGCTTCGTCCTCAAAGGCGGAGTTAAGTCCACCAGAATTTCTCAAACATTCATGAAAGAATCAAGGCAACATCCCAGGTATGTTTTTGAAGAGGGAATAACTTTAGAACATGATGGATGCAGTGAATCTGTGAAGCAGAGAAACTGCTCTTTACCACGACTCGAGGAGTGACCAGGACGTGAACGTGGTGCCGCACCATCTCTCCTCCTCTGATGTCCCACAGTCGGCTGACCCTCCTGATCACCGCCTCGCTCCACTGGTACACGCCCAGGCTGAGCAACAGGTCAAAGGTTAAGAGCTTAGAGGAGGGGAATGTGACTGAACACAGCGTCACAACACAAATGAAGCTGATTGGATGAAAGCAGGGCCAGTGTCAGGCGGATAAGAAATGAAATCGGCGGAGCGAGATCGGCCGTCTGCTTACCTCTCGTTGAACGCAGGAAGGCCGCTGGCGAAGCGCGGAGTCAGAGGTTTGCCCTCGTCGTCGTGGTAGAAGGCGAACAGACCGGCCGAAAACCCCTGGTGAGCACACACAAAAATCTCAGTCTCTGAAGGAGGACATGAGGCAGAGAGATGTTGATGGAGGGGATATCGTTGATTTTTATGGATGGAAACCTTTTGCCTTGGCAACAGCAAAGCTAACGTAACAAGAATGACACAAAGTGTTTTGTATGACCATTACTCAGAAAAAAAACAGGGAGTGTATTCCAGATCAAGAAAAACAAACTAATTAAGCTTAATAGGTTGGCCTGTTGCAATAAGTAATAGATCAATTAATGACATGATAAATTAGAAGAAGCTGAAAAATTTCCATTTACCCAATTCATCATTTTTTTCTCTTTCTTTATAGTATGAACTGGATGACTAAAGTCTTCTGTTGGCTGCTTTGGATCTCAACTGAACCTGTTTTGTTTAGTTGATTTTGTTTACAAAGACTTCATAATTCATTGTATTTGTTGTTTCTGTTGTTTTGTTTATCTGGATATTTAAAATGTCTTCCAGTTCCAATGTTAAAATGTTCATTAGAATTGAACATTTATTGATTTTTGAGAATGTGTTTTGGCATTATGATGCCATTACCGTTAATGGTCTCAAAACAACAATATTATCGTTTATCGTGATGACTTCTGGAACAATTCATCATCTAGCCGAATGTGTTGTTGTGACAGGTCTGGTGATGTGTGTGTCAGAGAGGAGAGAAAGCGTATTTACCAGAGCATGGATGATCTCGTGTTTGACAGTGGAGAGCATTCCTTCAAACTCCTGAGGCTGAGAGGAGATCATGGCTGGACACAGGTTGGCATAACCTGCAATGGGCCTGAAAAATCATACACACACACATATATAGAGAGAGTTAAAAGGTACAGACTTGTCTTTATTCCTGGACTTCATTAAGATTAAAGGATAATTAAGCTGACCGGTCCAGCTCTGCTTCCAGCTGGCAGTAGGCAGCGTAGGCCACTATGTTCTCCTGTCCGCATCTCTCAGTGGTGATGCCGCTGACGTACAGCACAAAGTCTGAGCCCTCCACCCCGGGGCCGTCCGGGGGCCCCGTTGGGCCACACGACTTCCCAGACTCGCTGCAAACCTTACATTGCTGAAAACAAACAGAAATGTCCAAAACCCTCTTTGATGGGAGCTTTAAAACTCCGTTCTCTGCCACTTTCCAGCACTCCTTATCTTTAAATTAGAATGAAATTTATCTTAAAGAAGGGCTTATATGTTGCACAGCTGTTTCCGACCTGCAGGTGGTGCTGTGGTACAACGACGGGGCCGCACCGGGTGACGTCTGCACAGGCATCCTGGCAGTATCGGTGAGGGTCACCTCTCTTCCTCATGTATTGGTTGGTTGCGCATTGTCTGAAAAGAGATATTAAACTTTGCTCAGGTTAATCTGGTTTCTGATGTCTTTCCACATTTGACAACTAAAACCGTAAAGGAAGACATTTGTTTCCACCGATTAAAGAAAACAACAAAAAAAAAAACACAAGTTACTAAATCCGCCAATTGTTCCCCAGATTGTAAACCGGGTGATGGGAATGGTGAGGTACCTGCTGAGCAGCACAGGTCCCACCCTGCGCCTCAAACTGAAGGCCTTCTGAAGGTAGTTGATGGCCTGAGGAAACAACTTGTCCTGAATAAAGACGTACAGAGAGAGCTGAAAACTGCAGTCAATCGCCAATCTCTAAAAAGCCCAGCCTTCGACTCCGATTCTGGTCCACACCGATACTTTTCGTTTCAAAAGTCGATAAATTTGGAGGAAGATTTCAGTAAAGGTTCAAAATTCAGTGGTTGGTTTTCAGCCCTTTAAAGGGCATTTATTTTAATGATGTGCCGATTTAAAGCCATGCATATATTTATACACACAATCCACAGTGAACATTCAAAATGTTTCAAGGGTGATCTATTATGTTTCCTTGAACATGTTAAGAAAGGTCTAGGGGGTACACAACACATTTTCATCACAATTTTTCAAATCATTCTTAGGTAGTGATGTTTCAGTTTGCTCAGTTCTGCCTATTTTGAGCTCCTGTCAGAATGACCAGTTTTAGGTCTCTGTCACTTTAAACACAAATAAGCCGCTGCTGGCCAGCCTCCTCCCCCAGTCAACGTTTACACTTGTATTTGAAAATGGCTGCAAACAGACGCGCAATTATACAACTTTACATCTTTGAAGGGCAGAAGTAGAACCTCCTGCTCAACAAACAAGACTGCAGCAAGTGGTTTCTGGACGTTAAGTTGACAACAAAACACTTGTCTTTTCCAGCAGCACAAACAGCTGACCAAACATGCTGGAGCTCAGCTAGGGTTGCTAGGTAACCGGCTGGGTCGCTGAGGTTGCTGCTTTAGGGGCAGTGCCTGCTGATTTGTGACTTGACAATAGGCAAGATTTTGAAAAGGATCATTTTCCAGGCACAAAAAAACATGAATTTATTCCCAAAAGCCACCTAACAGCACATGAGCTGTTTTTAGAAGCAGTGGAAACCCAAATAGAAGTACAATTATGTGCAAAATATAAATTTAGCATAATAGGTCCCCTATCATAAGCATTTTTGGTGATATAATTAAGTCTAAGGCAGTAGTACTATATTCTCAGAGCACCATAATGAATGGTTATAATTGTCTAAAACTCATGGAGGCCTCAGGCTGAGCCCTGGTCACATTATCACCATGTCACAGGAGGCAATAATGCTGCTGTTTGTTAGAAAGATTACAGACGGTTTATATCCTCATCTAGCAACAGCCACTTTTATCTTTGCATCCATTTTTTTTTTAAACACTATAGGGTGAGGTGTCCTCTCACCTTCACCAGTCTCCGTTTGTCAGCAGGAAGTCTGTGAAGACAAAGAGTGAGCTCATTAACCACCGACAGAAAAATTATATATGGTGCCTTAGCAAAATTATTCATGTCTATTAAACCATCACACATTTATCACATTACAGGCACGTGTTTCTTTACCCCCGTCCCCTGATGTCGTTAAATCTGGTAGAGATATATTCTGAGAGAAACAGCCACAGGCTCTTCTGCAAAGTGTTCACCCAGGCAAAGACCGTAAGAAACAGTGTTTTGTTATTTCATGTAAAATCTCAATGAAATAACCCAGAATTCTGTGGTTGTCAGAAGAAAAGAAAAATTGAATGTTAAAGATGCTGTGTGAAAACATTATAAAAAATATGTATTTTTTTACATATTTGTTGAAACTCACTATATTATGACAGTATAGTATGTCAGATAATCTGATAAACAGATAATAAGTTTAAAAAACAAAACAAGCTCCTGTGCTTTCTCTCAGTGCTAAGTAGAACCAACACCCCTGGCGTAAATAGTCAATCCTCCAGCTGCAGCTGATCCAGTACGCTGCTGCTCACGTTCTCACTAAAACTAGGAAGACGGAGAACATAAACCCAGTTTTCAAGTCCCCACACTGCTTTCCTGTAGCTCAGAGAATAGATCAGCATTGGCCAACTGCTGAACTTACTGGTCAACGCTGCTGTCGTAGACGACTTTTATCTTTAGCTGCAGGTCGTCAGAAGAACTTCTCTTCGCTAAGCGCTCAGGCTTCAAGTACACTTGATGGACAACCTAAAAGAAGTAAACAGGAATTTTAATGTGATGCAATTGTTTTTTTGTTTGTTTCATTGTGTGTTTGGAGGGGCTTGGAAATCAATGAGTTAGCTACCCCACTGCTCTTTAAGTTTTCTACTTGGCGTTAAGCTACCCAACATGGTGCTCTTATTTTTGCAATCACTATTTGTAAACCACAAAGGTTCTAAATAAATTTGGCTGAAATTACAAACTGATACTTTTACATGTATGTGTATTTCGGGTGGGCAGTTTGGCATTAAACTTTTTGGAAGATATTTGGAAGTCATTGAAATACTTAGAAAAGTGACAAAAAAAAAGGATAACTAGTTTAAATCTTTTAGGTAACAGAAAAGCACTGCAGGTAAGGCTACACAAACACAAAATGAATCATTTAATTATGTTTTATAATTTATTGAGGCGCAATCAACAGTAGAATAAAAAACAGCAAACAATTCTGACAACACAAAATGTCAAACTGTACAATAAAAATATATTTTCTAATAAATTATGCCAATGGCAGGTTTTAACTGGTTTCCAGTCTTATGTGATTTTGCATTCACTTTGTAAAAGTACCAGTAATATTCAGATTATGTTTTTCTTGTCATTAGCTTTGTAAATCCTTTTTTCACAAATATTTCTTCATCTCATTGAAATGTAGCCAAGTTATTTTTATGAAGTTGTTCATTAATTCAACTGTTAAAATAGGTTCTTTAAAACGACAAATTCTTATCAGAAACTAAAACTTTATTTTTTTTCAAAAGGCCATGCAACATTTTTTGTTCTGCGAGTTTTAATTTGCTGGACTTTGGATAAAAACGGCTCTTTGGGCTGAAAAGCTGCAGATATCTGGTTCAGTTACATTTTCATTGAGCTTTTATTCTGAAAATGCCACCCGGACGTACTATTTTTGCTGTTGCTAGGAGAAGTGAGGCTTAAATTGAACAGTTAGATTGAATAAAATGATTGTAAATTTCTGAACAATCGCTATAATTGGGTACATACACAGATTATGCTGTACATGAAGCCGGGCGAACAGACTAGCTTCTGGTTAGCCGCTTAGCTTTTTAACTAACTGCTAAATTCCAAATTACAGTGAACTGAAACAAAACTTTACGACAGTGTGAGTGTGGAGTACGGTTCTCAGACATCATATCTGGTGACAGTTTGACTTGGGTTTAAACATCCTCTAACAGAATTTATAGCTAATAAAATCAACGTTAATTAGCTCAGGAAGCTAGCTGGCTAACAGCCTCGGCGCTACAAACTGTCCAGTGAACGTCGCAGGTACAGCCGAGGCTCACCTCGCGGCCGGAGGGGACTGTGTGTGTGCAGGTTCTGTGACGGCTCGCTTGTACCGCTAGGAGCGAGAGGACGAGGACAGGACCGAGGAGAACCCGGGACACGGACGGCTTTCCACTCCCTCTTAACCAGCGCTCCATCCTCTGGCGAGCCCGAGAAGCGGTACTGAGAAGCACGGAGGAAACACAACCGCCGACGGTCTCCGTCCGGTCCCCTCGGTGCGCGTTATATTCATCGCTCGCGAGGTGAATCCGAACAAGGTAGCATTCTGTAAAAAAAAAAACGGTCGATATGATTCGGTTCTACTTTTTCGAGCGGACTGTAACGCCGGCCGGTTAAAGGCTTTGATGACAGCAGCAGATGCGGGTTCTGGTTCGTTACTTCGGAGTCAGCTGAGAGGAGGAGGACTCGCTCCTCCGAAGACCGTGTGTGAACAGGATGCACCACTCTATTAATTTTTTTTTTACAGAACTAGGAAGCGTCACAACCCTTCAAAGATCGTTTCTAGCTAGCTACAAACATGTTTAGAGATGTATTGTAGCTTTTTTTCCCTTCAACGTATACGTTTGTTCTTCCAATAAAACTCAAAAGAAGGAGTGAGCATTTGAAGTTTTCTTTCTTTCTTTTTCTTTGCTAGAGTTAGAACTGCATGTATTTTTTGGTAGGTCTCTACCGGCTTTCCTGATTTATTATTATTATTATTATTATTATTATTATTATTATTATTATTATATTATTATTATATTATTATTTCTGCGGTACTGGTGGGGCTTTTATTTTGATGGGACTCCAAGATCAAGAAAAACCGCTTTCGTTTTTCTTCTTTTCTTTTTTTCATTTTTGTTATTATATTTATTGTGAACAACATCAACAGCACCAATAATGTTTTCATATGGGTAGAGATTGTCGAAAAATAAATAAATAAATAAAATAAATGCTGGCTTTTATTGTGAAAGTAATGGACCGGACCACGAAACTTTTATTTTGACACAAATACGCCGAAATGTTATCGCGCGTGGGAAATAAAACAAGCAGTTATTTAAAAACCCGTATTAAAGAGCCATAGATGAAACCCGAGGACGGAACAGAGAATTAACCGGAAGTGCGTGTCAGGGGAAAACACTCCGAGGTCCTTAAAGCAGCAGCTGCGGAACGTCTTGGGACGCGAGGTCAAAGTAGACAGCAGACAGCAGTTTTTTTGTTTCCCTCCACCTGCAGTCCAGGTGAGCTCGGTGTGTCGGTGAGACATGAAGAGGAAACTCCTGCTGGTGTCCAACTCCACTCTGCACGGCGGCGGCTACCTGGACCACTGTCAGCAGCACATCTGCAGCTTTTTTGGAAAGTGAGTCTGAGCAGAAACAGGCCGAGGAGACGCAACGTTACCCCGCAAAGAGACACTGTCAGTGAGGAAACGAGCGCCGAACGTCAAATTTATAGTGGGGGGTTTGTTCTGGATCATTTGGCGCTGTGGTCTGGGCGGCATGGGATAAAGGGGCGCCAAGAAGAAACGCAACAATGGAAACTGAGAAAAAAAAACCCAAGCCTTTTCTGTGGCGAATGCCGCATTTGAGTTGTCTCGAGTTCAGCGCTGGTAATAACTTCATGTCAATCTTAAAACGGAAGAATGTGTTCTATATGTTATGGTGGTTAAAAACCAGGAGCTTTTTGCGTATTTGTGAGGGCAGGGAGGTTTCGCGGTCCATGTCTAATCTAGTCAGCGGAAAATTCAGTTCAGGAAGACAACGCACCAAAGTAAAACATCCTGCTCTTCTTGATGCTCAAACCGGCCAATCCTGGAGCGCCATTTATTTTCCTTGGCGCCGGAGAAGCTTGGAGAACCCGACTAACGTGGAGAACGAGAACGCCTCACTGTTTGCGGGGAAGGGGTTCAACACCGCCGAACGCCAAAAGGCTGAAGTTGGCGCCTGATTCACAGCTTGTCGTCTTTCTCAAATATCATCACATCAACGTCTTTCAGTTTTTAATGCTGCTAACAAACCACATGCTAACCCTTTTTATGTGTTGACAGAGTGTTTGTTTTAGTTGCCGGTGACGGTGGTTTGCCCAGGTGTCATCAATGCAAGGACGACTCCGTGTTGACAGCTTTATTTGACTTTAAGTGTTGATTCATCCTTCAGGAATGTGAAGAGAGTGCTGTTTGTTCCCTATGCCCTCCATGACAGAGATGCCTACACAACGACTGCCAGGAACAAGTTCAGATCCTTAGGTAGGTTCCCACACTTTGGGAACTCCTGCTCTAAACTATCACAGCCTTCAGCGGTCCGTTGCGTTCTTTGAGAGTGGAAACGGACCCCAGCTGTGCCACGATGTTCTGAAAACGCTCGTTTTGACTCGTGTGTTTGTGACCCCGGCAGGTTATGAGGTCGACGGCATCCACGAGGCTGCTGACCCTGTCGAAGCCGTCCGAAAGGCTGAGGGCATTTTATTGGTGAGAGCCGAAGGCGACGCTCTCCTCCCTACAGCACAGCGTGCTGTTTTTTTATATATTTTTTAATTTTGTCAACCTTTTTTAACTCTGTCTTTCTGCTTCTTCCTCCTGATGTGAAGGGATCTTTGCCTCGGTGTTGATCTATAAGACAAAAATGACTCAAAAAATGTCTCGGGTGATATACAGTGTCCTGCTCTACTTCCTCATGGGGGCGGAGTTAGCGTCATGTCAACTGAGCATCAGCTGAGCTCATCATAGGAGCTACTCCTCATTGCAGCGCTGATAAAAACCTCGTTAAAGGGTTAATAGAGGAGCCTTGTTGTGATGATTTCCTGAAGGCAGTTTCTGAAAGAGCAGGAGCTTCTTAAAGAGACAGAGGCCCAAATTGAAATCACCAACTTCAATTTATTTTCAGTCACATTTGATACACAGCAGTTTTTCAAACTGAAGTTAACATATTTACTTGATCGTGAACAATCAAGTAAATCAAGTAAATACTTGATCAGCTCCTACAGAGGGAGCGAATATGCAAACAACAACCAATTACGTTTTTAAGGTCAAGAACTAATGGGGGAAGATTGGCTCAGAAGTTCAGAACTCTTATAGTAGTGGGTTTGGTGTTTTTGCTAGCGTTTCTAAACACTTCACTGCCGTAACCTTTCCCCCACCACCACTGACCTCGTATCCACGGAGACGCTAACGGACGCATCTGCTTGCAGGAGGGGGCAACACGTTCCGGCTGCTGAAGAGCCTTTACGACAACAACGTGGTGACGGAGATCAGGAAGAGAGTCCTGGAGGTGCAGCACACACACACACACACACACACACACGCACACACACACGCACACACACACACACACACACACACGCACACACACACACACACACACACACACACACACACACACACAGCCGGGTTCCTCAGAGCCCAACAGCCTTGATGGCAACACGCAGACTCTTACATGTAGCAGTAGACGGACGCATCGCGAGGTCCGGCAACGTCTTCCCGTTCTCTGTGCCTCGTCGCAGGACGGCGTCCCGTACATGGGCTCCAGCGCCGGAACCAACGTGGCGACCATCAGCATCAGCACCACCAACGACATGCCCATCGTTTTCCCGCCGACCTTCAGTGCCATCGGCCTGGTGCCCTTCAACATCAACCCGCACTACCTGGACCCCGACCCCAACAGCCGCCACATGGGGGTGAGTCGAGAAACAACTAGAGACCCGACAGTGGTGGTCTCCAGACTTTCTGCCCTGAGAGACTAAATTGCTGGGTTCAAAAAACTTAAATTTTTTACTTTGTTTTATTTGCTCAACATTAAAGCAAAGTGAAATTTTAAACCACTGTAGGTCGGTACAAAGAGAAGAACCAAGGTTTTATTCAACCGTGTTACGAGACGGCCCAAAGTTTGTGACTTTCTGGCGTTGGTTATTTGGCTGAGCCGGGTTTATGAATATAATAAAACATCAGTAATCTTTAGCAGACGGTTATCTATTTAGAAACAATAAATACTAGTTTTATTTAGTTATTTTCTTTGTTGTTTTATTTTCAACGTTTCCTGTTAATTCTTTTAACATTTTTTAACACAACAACCAGGCTGAGCTGGTTTTCTGGTGTGAATACTTTAGCAAATCTCATCTTGTCCATCTTCATCTGATCAGTTCCACCATATTCTGCGCTTAGCTGATAAGCGTTATCAGCTTTGTGCTGCTTATCGCAGTCAAGAAACGCTCAGTACTAAACAACCTGGATTTGACCTTTGTTTTAAGCTCTTTGTACTTAATTACATATCTCTTACATATCTTTGTATGACGTCCAGACAGATTGAGACGGTTTCAGCTTCACGTGCTAGAAGTAAAAACCCGACGCCTCCACCGTGTTCCGGTGGATCCAGCCTGTTCTTCACGTCGGCCTGCGCTCGTCTGAAACACAACGTGTCGCAGTTCAAACGTAGTTGTGTTGAAAGGAGAAAAAAAAGAAACGAAACGACTCGTCCGCATGCTGAAAACTTGCAGCGGTTTGAATTTCTCCGGCACAGGAAACCGCAGAAGCAGAGAGCGGCGTCAGATTTGACGCACGTCAGCAGAATCCGTGTCGGCCGTTGCGAAATGTTGCTCTTTCTTCCATACGATTCTGCTGCTGCTGACCTCTGGAGTCGATGAACAAAACGGAATTTACCCTGAAGCGAACGACACTCTGCAGGACGCCGTGCTGATGTCGTGGTTTGGTCTTAGTTTAGTTTTAGACAGACTTTCTTTTATGCTTCGTTCCCCTGCAAATATTGGTGGAGAAATATAGAATTTTTCCGACAAATTTGGTTACATTGCATATTTTATAGTGTTTATCCAGGATTTTATATATATTTCCAAAACTATCTAAATCTCTGTAAGTTCTGTGACTTTTCAAATCTGTTGTGGTTTTTATTCTCCGTTTGCTAAAATGTAATTTTTATTTTGGTTTTGAAAGATTCTTTATAATGTTTTACTTCTTCAGAATAAAATAAATTATGAGCCGACTCAGTTCATATGATTTACTGTGGCTTAGCGTTCGCATTGTCACACTTACATTTTTAATTAAAGAAATCCAGTAAGTATGGGCGGGACTCTGGTTTCGTTGGCCATCTTGTTTGTTGGAGTGCAGACGGTCCGTTTTTCCTCTTCTTTTTACAAAGTTTCATCCCGTGTCACGTTGTCATTGTGCAGGAGACCAGGGAGCAGAGGATAACCCAGTACCATGAAGAACCCAACACTCCCAGTGTTCTGGTGAGTCAGAACCGGCTGTTATAGGACTGTCCTGGTTCGTTTCCGTTTTCATTCATTGGTTTATTTTATATATGTTAGGGACTGAGGGAAGGCTCCCTGCTGCTGGTAGAAGGAGACAAAGCCACGCTGTTGGGAACAACAAAGGCTCGACTCTTCAGCAGGTGCTGTCACTTTAAGAGTCATTACGTTTATTTATACAGGTTTCGCGCAGCTGAAAAACTGAAATATTTACACACAAGTCAACTCCCACAATCCTCGTAAACCTTAATCACATTCTAATCAATATACAACTGGAATTGAACGTTTTCCCTCCACTGATGTAACCTGATCAAATCAGATTAGTTCAAATTTAGTCCATTCCCCGACCATTACATGAGCAATATGGGAATCTAAACTTCAGCGTCCAATTGCATTTTCGTTTCAGATTTGAGAAAAGTTGCGGTGATTATTTGGAAGACTTGTATGCAAAGTTCTTACTGAGTGCAGAATACTCAAAGGTTGACATTTTTAATGTCAGAGGAGTTTACAAGGAAGTCAGATATATTCAGATATTGACAATAAAAAAGTGTATCGTAAAGTAACGTTTTCTATGGCATGTTCAGACAATCTGCATACATTCAGGCTGTGAAAGAGTGAGAGAGAGCAGGACGTTAGCAGGTAACAGGACGGCTGAACACGCGACAGCGTTTGTTGGTTTGCCCTCTGGACCTTTCAACTTCTGAGTTACGGTTTGGATCTGTTCTCTACGGATACAAGTAGAGACTGCTGTAATGCTAGCAGCGCTAATCACGCTAACTGCTAATGTAGGACACCAAAGACAAACGGCGACCGCTCTGTCTCACACATGTTCAGTCACAACCACATTTGTTTTCCCCGAGTGGCGCCGCATCCGCATCCGTTCTTATTTTATATTTGGGCCTCATCTTGTTGTCCAACGAGAGGCTGGTTTGTTTTCCTGTGACTGTCTCTCTTACACTCTGTAACCTGGACCCGTCCTCTGATTGTCCCGTTTGGGTGTTTCAGTGGGAAACCCTCGGTGGAGTTGGATCCCGGCAGTGACCTCAGCTTCCTGCTGACGGAGGCGCAGTGAGACGCCAAAGAGGAATGGAGACCACACGGAATAAAAATCTGAAGCAAACGAGCAATGTGTCTTTAATATGAACAGTTATTAATGTCGTTTTTTAAAATTTTTTTATTAAGCTCCCCCTCGTCAAAAATAACGTGGAGACAAACCACAGGACAAAAAAAATGTGAACAAATCTGTTTATTTCAGCCCAAAAGTGAAATCATCTCTTTTTTTTATTGTTAATATAAACTCTAAGTGGAAGAATACATACATCAAAAAAAAAAAAAAAAGTAAATATTTGCTCATAGCAGAAAGGAAAAGAGAGTGGTGTTAAATATATATAAAAAGGACTGGAGTCAAATCGCCATCAGTCAGTTCAGAGTCTGATTCTGCTTTTAGATTCTCTACATTTTAATTTCCTTCTTTTTCAAATAGAAATCTTAACCGTGTTCAGATTCAGTTCTTTCTACAGACCAGAGAATTGAGCCGCGACTCAAAGAGCTGCAGGTGGTTCAGACTGAGTGGGAGCAGATTTCACTCCAGCAACCACACAACCGCAGATGTTAATCTTTCATTTATCGTGAACAAAACGAGTCGATTTAAACCAGTTTTGAAATGTGCTGCATCAAAGGCAAGTTTTTGTGCAGATTTGGCCACTCAAATCAAGGCTGCCATCAGGAAGCCCTCGAGATCCCCGTCAACCAATCAAATCTTTGCATTTGTGATTCTTCCACCTGCAAAAAGTAAAATTCTCCGCTGTTCGCAATCCCCTCACAGGCTTGTGTTAAAGTTATATTACAGGTTTATTGTCACAAATCATAAACAGTGGTCATTTTGGTTTACAATTCAACTGTGTGGTAAAAGGCTATTGCATAATTAAAATTTTCTTTTTGGTGTCTGGACTTTAAAATTAGTTAAAATCTGGAATAAAAATAATCTTAATCTAGATGAAGCACTGATCTCCTAAATGGACAGTTTGTGATTAGTGCTACATCCATTTCAATGAATTTACATTTCACTGCTTTCTTAGGAATCCACGCCGAGTTCAGTCCAGGAACCTTCAGTGCAGTTAAACATCCAGAATTAAAAGCTTCTAAAAGCTTTTAGTTTTTTTTTAGTTTTTTCTTTAATGAAGTGATTATTTTTAACTCAAAATGATCAATAAGGTGGAAAAGCCTTCAAAGTCATCATTTAAATAAACAAATACTATCATTTCCCCATTTTAGAAAGTAAAAGCTCATATTTAAAGGTTGAACTTTTAGACAAACAAACATTTTCACTTTCTTCTCATTTTACTTACTTCAAACTAAAGTTAACTTTTCAAGGCCGCTGACGTCCAGCGGAAATGTTGCAGATTCGTATAATTTTAAGGGCACCGACAAATGCATTTTTGCAAAGAAATAGGAGCTTGTTTTGAGTCAATAATCCTTAATATTGATGCGAAAGTTCCACTTCCATTGGTGCATCATTTCACTTACAACTTGGGAAAAAATGGTCTTGTTATAAGTGAAATAATGTATCATTAGGACGAGTACTGTTCCATCAGCAATAAGGATTACTGATCAAGAACAACATGTTTTATGTCAATAAAATTATTTCAAATGCTATTTTGACTATAAACCAGACCCAAAACATTTGGTAAGATTTGTTTTTTGCAGTGCAATCTTTTATTTATTAATTTATTGATTTAATTTGCTTTTCAACCTGCAGTAGATGAAAGTTTGTGGGCCGGTCCTGAACTGAACCCAGCTGAAAACATCTGGACTCTGTTCAAAGAGGTGATCTGTGCCAGGAAGCCATCCGACATCGATTAACGCCAACAGTTCAGTTTTCGTTTTCTTCACCCTCGGTCAAAAAGGGTGAGACGAGTTGCAACATATGAAGAAAACTTTGAGCAAATATTAGTGACACTGTGTGGAGCAGATCTAGAGTGAATTCAAACTCGTGTCTTTAGAAAATCACTGAAGTTACTTGATTTATTATTAGTCCATCCTGAAAGCAGAAAATCTACATTTAGCCTATTAAAGAAACACTCTAATTTTAAAGGTAAAGTTGTCCAAACTGCTCAGTGTTGATTTGTTGATTTAAATCTGTTCAAAGTTTTAAAGGTTTTCCAAAGGACTCAAACAGGAAGCCCAGGTCAGCAAACGTAGCCTCATGTGCTACGTAGCTGGCTAGGCTTGCTAAGAATTAAGAAACTAAGATGAGAGAAATATTATGGCCTGTTTAGAATGAGTGACCCTATTTACACCATGTAGAGGTCCATGACTGCGACCTGCACATGGTAAACGTGACGTACGTCCAGGTTTTCGTCTTTAACAGAAATCCAACCAGTGTGGAAAAGCAACGACGCAACTTTCATTGTTGTGAAGGCGTTTTGCGCTCTCGCCCGCTTTCTGCTGTTGCAGTGAAATCGTCAAAATATGCAAACCCAATATGGGCAAATAGCAAAAAAAAAAAAAAAAAAGTTGTTTTTGTTCCTTTTCTTTTAAATACATAAACACACATAACACAAGTCAGATCAGAGTCATTAGAAGAAGAAAAAAAAGCAACCAGCTGATTTTTTTTTCTTTTTAAGTTTTCTAGCGAAGCTGCCAGTCACCAGTTTGAAATCTGAGGACAAACTACAAGGAAATAAACAAAAAGAAAAAAAGGCTTCAGTGCAGGAAATGGCAGGAAAGTAACAAGTGACCACGGATTAAACCCCGCCCCTTAGCTACAGTTGCTATGGCTGCTCCGGTTAGCTAAAAAGCTGCAGAGGAATGTAACAAACAGCAAGTGTGGATCATTGTTTTGTGTATTATTGACTATTTTCCCTCTCAGAGGATCAATACATTCCATCCATAAATTGAAGGTTTTTATTCTGTGCCGTTTAGCAGCTCAGCTCGACCAGATAAAAACGCACTTTTAGTTCATTTGACTCTCGGACTTCATGCGACAAGAAATTTAGACCATTATGATTTTTTCCTTCCACAGAGAATCAATTTTTTAACAATGCTACTTCATTTTAATGAAGTTGACCCTCTCCAGGCAGGTGTTGCAGATTTGCAACAACTTAGCCAGTCTTTGCAAGTAATTTGAGCCTGAGAGGGTTAAACTAAACTACTTATCCTTAGCAGTAGCAGGACCGCTAAATACATCCAAATGCTAACAACGGTAGCATTAGCATTCCAATGTATTTAATGCAAACTCATTTGCATAGCATCAAATAACATAATTACTTAGTATTGGCTACAGACAGCAGGGGTCCCCAAAGTGGCCCTCGAGGGCCCGGCATGCTGCATGCTTTGGTTCTCTCCCTGATTTAAGGCACCTGGATCAAATGATGGCTCGTTTGAGGCCTAAGAACAACATTGACCTGCTGAAAAGGTTGTCACTACCACCAAGGAGAGAACTAACACATGCAGGATGCCGGGCCCTCAAGGACCCTCTTTGGGGACCCCTGACATAAAGGCTGTAGATATGTGTAGTAACACATATCGGCCTCCAGGGGTCAGGATGTATTCTAAAACCGTTTTCCTCGGGTCGGGGTTTAACCACGTGATCGGAGGTGAAAGAAAACCGTTTCTTGATTGTGTTAAATAGAGCTGGACCCGCTACTGCAAATCACCGTTACTGTTTTGTACAAAATGCATTTAAAAACACATAAGAAAACCCTGCAGACCCCTTCCCCGAACCCCCCAAAAGCACAACTCAACATACTACAGTTTCAGTCCGTTACCAAACACCCACACAAAGCAGGAGAGAAAACAGAAGAAAAAGATGCATCACTGCGACACTCTGATCATCTCAGAGCAAATAGTCCATCTTTATCCAAAACTATTCCAGAACCTAGTTTTCTCAATCTCAATGTTGCTGTTTCATTGCTGCTGTTGGTCCTAATCCAATCAGCTGACTCTGGTACTTACAGTTATGAATACTGGTCCTGCTGTTACCCGTCCTCCATCAATCACTACGCTTTTCTTCACGCATCAGCAGTTCTGGACTTCAAGGCCGACGAGACCAATCGGCTCGTCGGCCGTTTAATGTCGCGACGAAGCAGAAACAAACAAAAGACGGAAAAGGACAGAAGAAATGTGCAAATCTGTTGCGAGGCCAAACCCGACGGGACAGCTGCTGCTCCCTGTGCATGCTGGGAGCGTTTCGAACGTGTTGCTTTTAGTGTTAGAGAACCAGAGAGAGACGGAGCGCCGGGTTCACGGAAGCCGCTAAGGAAGTGCTTCAGCGTCGTGAAGCCGCACAAAGAGACGGCACGATCCTTAAACTTTTAAAAACGCGCGGGTGTAAAGCGTCGAGGGTTTTTTCCTTTTTTTTTTTTTTATCTGTGACCAGTGTTTTTCCAGCTTCTGTTTTGGCACAAATGCAACATGACTTAAAAAGAAAAAAAAACACATAAAAAAAAAAAGCTAAACAAATACAGTTAGCCGTCCCTCCCCCAAACAGTCATTACAGTGATTCTCTCTGAAGCTGGTTTACCCTGATTTCTTCTCTCCTTAACTTTCTCTCTCCCTTTGCGTCTTAAAACTCTCGGCCTCTAAGCGTCAGTGTTCCCGTTCTCCTCTGGCTGCAGCTGCTCCTTCTCGGTGCAGTCCACCTGCGGGGGGCGCACTCTCTTAAAGAAACCCAGCTGAGAAAGAAGAGAAGGGGGGGAAAGAATAGAAAGATCATTTGGAAACTTTCCTACAAAACAAGACGCATAAGGTGCGGCAAAGCAAGTTAAACTGAGTGTTAATCAATCAAACTGAGACATTTGTTCTCTAATCCTTCAGGTGACAGAAGGCCGACCTTGTGTACAAGCAGCCTCACCTTGTACATAATGAAGATGAGCAAAGCCAGCAGCAGGAGCCCTGCGAGTACCGCCAGAGCGACCACCCAGCCCGGTACCGGCTGGGCCGAGTCCGCCACCCACGTCACCGACACGCTGACCTGGAAACAAGAGCAGGGAGCAAAGCTCAGCTTCCCCTTCAGGAGTTTGCCTGGGCTTTTAGGATCTTCCACTAGATTTTAACATCTCTCTTCAAAATCTAAGGTTAGAAAGAAAGATCTAGACATTTTGTCTGCAAACCACATCAGCAGTTGCAGAAAGCATCGGGGGAGAGGGGATGAAAAAGCTTTGATTTTCAGCGATGAAATGAAACCAACATTCTAACACATTTCACACTTTTCAAAGTGCAAAATTTGTATTTGTGCTTTTTAGAGAATATATTTTGATTAGCTAATAACATTGCTTCCTGTCCATGGAAAACCCTGGCGCTGTTAAACCGTATGCTGATGACTGAGTGTTTCACTGGGACTCACGGTGGTGGAGTTCGCCGGCAGCTCGGTCCGCAGGTTCTTGTACGGCATCTCAATGACTTCAAACGACGCCGTCGATCGAACCACGTAGGAGCGATTCTGATTCTCAGTCTGAGGGAGGAAACAAGTGAAGCAGACCAGGTAACGCATCACCAAAAGCAACAGTCGACCTTTGAAAACCGAGCTCCGTAAAACCCTGTGGGGGAAAATCCCCCAAAAACATACATGTAAGTGACTTTAACCGTCTTTGTCATCTGACTTTTGATTAAGCTTTTGACATGTCGCAAAACAGAAAAAAAGAAGGAAAACGTGAAGCAGTGTGAGTCTTAGGCAGCAGTTATAAGAGCTGCTGTGTTGCTGTACCCTGAGGAAGTTGTTGACATCCAGTCTGGAGTAGATGAACAGGATGGCGTTCTTGTTCCTCTCCAGACGGCCGACCTGACACCTCAGCTTCAGACACTCGGCTGTGTTGCAGTTCTAAACAAGCAGGCGCAGTCAAATGAAAACAGTAGGTAAAAATTCAGGAAACTCGGAATGAAAGAGAAAATAAGAAGATTGTGAGGAATAAAAATAGTCTGTGCTGTGTGTGTGTGTGTGTGTGTGTGTGCGTGTGTGTGTACCAGTATCTGCAAGTCGTTTTGCGTCTCTCTGGCCTCCAGGTCTCTCTTCCTCACACGTCTCGGGTTTCCTCCCTCCATCTCTCGGTCCCTGACGACGCTGGTGTTCTTCTGGGTCCCAGCGGGTTCTGAACGGCACAGAAACCACATTTACTGGGAATTTAGTGGCACGACCTGTGACCCCAACTGAACGCCGAGTGAGACGAATCAAAAAGCAGTACGTCAGCAGTTGCTGTGGATACTAAACCGATGCAGGGTTTACACAGGTTTCACCAACTTAAATCTAAGACTTTTTAAGACCAGCATGATTGAAATTCAAGATCTGTATCGCGACAGAAAGGTAAAAAAAAAAGGTATTATATTGTAGCGCTAGACTTTTTTCCACAGAAGGAAGGTGTAACGTACAGGTTGGCAACTGAGGCGAAGGCAAACGTCGTCCAGCAAAACTGCCAATAAATTTACACTTGCGCAAAAAGGCTAGCTGGCTAGCAAGGGATTATCAGTAGCTAGTTGGCCGTAGCTTCAACAGCCTCGAGTCGCAGAACGCAACTAAAATGTTGCTTTAGGCTCAAACATTCACCTGACAGAAACGTATCATAATAACAAAAAAAAAACTGCATAGCACACGAGATTAAATAGTCCTGCTGCGTCAAAATGCAAGACCTGAGATTGACATGTTTAAGGCCAACCTATATTTTTTAAAATGAATTTGACATTTTATTTTAATTTAGATGCATGAATTTAAGATTTTCAGAGATGCGTGAACACCTGATGACTTTCCATCATCGTGTTTTTTACAGCATTCTGAAGGACCAGCGTCTTCTGTGGTTCGCCAGCATTCTGCTAGATAATCGTCATGGCAGCACTCTTCATCCTCACCGTCTAGCATCAAACATCCTTCACCTACAGACACGTTTCCGAAAAAAATGCAGCTTTTTGCTGCAAATGTTGCAAATCAACGAGATTCACGGACACAGATCAACGCTGTGTAATGAATAAACGAGTTTTACTTTTCAAGCTTAATCACTGAAAACTTTTCAACAAGACTATGAAACAGAGCTTTTCACAGTTTCCTCCTTCCAAGGGAGAAAGCTGTAAAGACACTTTAATTCTCCTTATGGGTAGAAAAGAGCAGGAACAAAGAAAGAAACCGTGTCCGGCGTCTTACGGAGACGTTGAGCGGGTTGATCTCCACGTCCGTGGTGCAGTTGATGGGCCCCTCGGTCTCAAAGCTGGTGATGTAGAGCAGAGAGCCGTTCCTGAAGTGATACGGCCATTCCACCTCCAGCGACGCCTTGCTGAACGTGCTGGGCCCGTTGTTCAGCAGCTGAAAGAGCATCACTCTGTCAGCGTGAGGTCAGAGCCACTGCAGCGGCCACAGTGGACTTTGTCGTCATCACATTTAGTGACTTTTCATCAAACTGTTCAAAATCCTCCAGCAGGTTTCTGAGAGATCGATGATCAGCCAGAAAACTGCGATCCGTGCATCCCTAGATTTCATATTCAAAATTCAAGAATTCCTGCAAAACCAAAGCGATGCAACATAAAACGTGCACTTTGTGACCTTAAATGCACAAAGTGACATAATTAAAGAGCAAAAGGTTCTGGACAGTCCACTGTGCTACTTTAAATGCTGACGGCAAACAGAAACAGAAGCAGCAAATACAAGAAAATGAACTAAAAAGCTCCACTCCAGCTGCCATTTTCCCACAATTAAATGTGTGTTGCTGAACATTTAAAGTAAAAAAAGAAAGAAAGAAAAAAAAGAGCTAAGGAACAGAAACGCATTTAACTTCATTTAACTATTTATTTGCGTTTTTGTACCTCGTAAACGTGAAGAATCTGCGGCCCGATGTCGTCTCCGAGCACCGGGGGGTTTTTGGGCTTCCAGTTGGCGATGGGCAGCAGAACCTGAGAGGGAGACGACGACCTGGGGGAGCAACACACACATGGATATGTCCCGACATGCAAGAGCAGACAGTGGGAACAACTTGGGACAAGTCTGACTGCCCGGTTTGTTCCCGCTCTACTTCCGACGAAGAAACAAGAAAAAAGATCAAATTGTTTATTTGAGAAGAATAAGTCAGGGTGTGGAAAGGAAGCTGAATCTGTGCGTTACCCTCTGATGGAGGCTTTAGCCAGGATGTCCAGCTGCGTGACGCTGGACACTCGGGGACTCCTGTTCTGAAACTGGTTAGAGCTGAAACACAACGACAACTTCAGTCAGGCAAATTAGAAATGAGAAAAACAACAACAAAAAAAACTCACAATGGTATAAATATAGGAACAGATGGATGATATGCAGCTCTGGAAGATTCACTTTAATGTGAACAACATGTTTCTCCAGACTGGAGGTGATGAGATGAATCGCCAAAATAAAAGTGGAACTAAACAAAAGGCAGGCTGCAATTTTTTATTTCAGGCGTTTTAAAAATCAAATCAACACTTCACTAATTATACGTGTTTTTTTTTTTCTTATTTTTAAATTGGCTAATAAAACAATGATGTTTGTAATAACTTTAAAAAAAGAGGAAACATTTAAGTTTCTCCATAGTTTGGTTGGTCCTGGAACTTTTTATTTTCTCCCTTTTTATGACATTTTTTTGACTGATGCACTGAATATTAATTTATTCTGACAGAAATAAACCGAGGTTGAACATAACTGTTGAAAAGCAAAGTTTCATCGAATCATATCTGGGGATTTACAATGACTAACGTCTTTATATAAGCAACGTTTTCTTGTTCCCCATCTTCATGTGGCATTTTGTCAGTCTGGAAAATGCGGCACGTCGACGTTGCCTTATTGTAAAGCAACACAGCTGTGCGGCAGCTCCAGATGGAAGTTGCTTTAAGCCAGTGCTTCTCAATTATTTTCCGTTACGCCCCCCCTAGCAAGAAGAAAACTATTCGCGCCCCCCACTCCCCACCGTGACTATCCATCTCTGCATAACATTTTTTCCTTATTAACATTTTTTTCGCTGAAAAAACTCTAGCGGCTTATCGGCGTGATTGGGATGTAACGTATTTAAGTGACGCGCTAATTTATTTGGCTTCATGCTGTCCGCTGCAAGCATTTTTAGACACAGCAAACACACCGGTCTTTCCTCTTCTCCAACTGTAGTCACAGTGAAGCCAAGCGCTAAATACGCTTCGTCGTATTTCCTCTTAGCTTTCGGTTGACTTTCTGTTGTCTCATTATCTTTGTCTCTCTCCGCTTTTCTTTTCATCCCTGTGAAAAACTTTTCATGTTGGGGGTTGTTGAATAACGGAGGCCATAGACAGAACGCAGTCGGAGCTTTTTGTTGACTTAACACTGCTAACCAAGGCAAACCTGTTGTCTTGTAAGTCGTAAAATGTTGCACTGTCGCAAACGTGACAGAAGTAACAATGAGAGCGCCACTGCCGCCTACTGTGCGCAATTACACTTTATACTAGTTCGGCCAAAAAAAAGCCTGTTCCCCAGGATCACACGCGCCCCCCCAGGTATCGCACCGCGCCCCCCAAAGGGGGCCCGCCCCACTATTTGAGAAGCACTGCTTAAGCTCACACTTTTAAAGTCGAGGAAGTGAACCAGAGAGGCGAGGAGGAGTGAAACCAAATCCAGCTCAAACCTCTCATTAACATAGTTCAGTTCCCCCCTCCTCCCTCCGCTTTCTCTCCCACTGAAACACAAACACTCAGGCGAGCGCCGGGGGGGCGATGCATTCTCTCACTTTCATCCTTTCTGGTATTTAGACGAGTCCTGACTAACAAAATCAGCCTCCTACCGAATTACTTGTTGGCTTCTTTAAGGAAGCAAACGTCCAGATTCGTGTTCACTGTTCCCTGTGTAAAAAACTATTTCCTCGCTCAGCCAGCAGGTGGAGCTGCTCTCGTTCCAGTTAAAACTGGGGATGAGGGGAGGTACCTGACAATCTGGAGGTCGAATTTGATGGAGGTGTCCTCCTCAGACAGCTGGTGTACACTGAATCCCAACTCCGCCAGGATCTGGCCAATGAGGCAACAGAACAGGAGCCGAGGACCAATGAGAGACCGGGGAGAGAAAAACACACACACAAAACATCTCAGGATACTTTCTAAAATATTTTAAAACAATGAGAAAGTCTCCCAAAAGTATTGCAGCTTTTTGTCACTTTACAACAACAGATTTAAATGGAATTTATTGGGACAAAATATGACAAGGTTCAAGATGACGAGTATTTTCCGAGAAGGCTATAAGTAATTACTCTGCAATGTTTTTAAAGATGCCGAGTGTTGGCTTCGCTGCGTTGCCTCCGACTGACCGTAGTGTCTTTCTTCATGGGGTTTCCCAGGTCACACACCACCCTTGGTCTCGTTCTCCTTCTTGTAAGCACAGGAGAGCCGAGAGAGAGTCTGTGGAAGAACAGGCAGGAAGGAACGTCACAACATCATCATCGCACACATATGACCAGTGATAATGGATCAGATCTTAGATAATAAACAAACAGAAGTTCTGTCTTTTTTTTTTGGGCCAGATCCAATTTCTGATTTGAATGGAGTATTTATTTATTTTTTTATGCTCGTTTCTTTGCTAAAACAAAAATGACAGAAAGAAATCATCAGAAGGTGGCGTTTATTTAAATCATCCCGGCCTTCTGGGCGCATCAGGGCCAGGCTGGGGACGTTTTTGCTGATGTTTGAGAGCATCGTCGCAACGCTGGCGCACAAGATGCAATTTTAAGAAGAAAAAAAAGTCTTAAAATTAAGAGAAAAAAAAGTTGTTTTAACGAGAAAAGCAGATGAGTTACTAGGATCTGACGCGAGCAAACGCACACGGCTGTTTGAACGATCGTCTCGAAGTCCTGCTACTGACATTTTGATGATGTGTTAAAAAATTAATTTTTTCTATTAAGTAATAGCTGTTAAAACTTGCATCAAAGCAAGCCTTCACAACGTTCCTCCTGTTGGATTTTTAAAAATGTATTTCTGAATTCAAAATCCAAACAGAAAGAAACTTTAAAAACACACTCGTTGAAGAAGATTACATAATCTTCCAAACCCAAACAAAAATTCAATTACTAGTAATACCTTCCTGGTCAGTACTTCGTTGGAAATAAAAAAAAAGAGTTTGTTTAGTTCATAGGGTTGGAATGTAGATGAAAGATTTAAAGACACTAACAGGGAAACACTGATCCACAGCGAGCTTTGTAGTTTTCTGACGACTTCCTCTGTCAGGTGAGTCGTTACCAGCATATTTAATATTTTGGCTCCCAAGCAGAGGAAATCAAACAGAGTTAAAGAGTTCTTTATCAGATCATGAGTTCTGCAGGTTCCGTCGTTAATCCATGTGCTTGAAGACAAGGATTACTTGGAGACCTCAAAGAATCCTTTGTGTTTTATGCGTCTTTTTTGGCGTTCGCTGTGGATGGAAAACCAGGTCTACCTGACTGCGGACCACCCCGGTGAAGTCGGCCTGTTGAGGCGGGTAGACGTGCAGCTCGGCCTCGTAGGCGCCCTCGCCCTTGTTCTCAGCCGTGACCATCAGGGTGAGGGCGTTGTCGTCGCCGATGTAGATCTTCCCGGTCGCTGCGGCCAATCAGAGGACATGGACAGTTACAACCTCCAATAACTCTCTAACGCCGTTATCTCTCCATGATTGGTTTCATTTAAATGGACTTCGCTGCACCGACCTCTTCACCGACAGCTTGAGGTCGGGTTTGCAGATGTTGTCTTCGCCACAGTCCAGCAGAATGTGAGCCTGGCACAAAACGGAGAAGAGGAGAGAACAGAAAATCAGACCGACTGTCAGAGTGACCAGCCTGAGTGCTTCAGGACCAAGAACAGCCACTAGAGGGAGATTACTTTTCTATAGTGTCTTATTCACAGTCCAGACAACACTATGGGCTTCATTCAGAGTTTAGCTCTGTGCTAACATGGTGCCGATTTAACTTCTCTGTTTAAGTTATCATAGCAACAGTGGCACTTTTGACACGTGAGCCAAGATGGTGGAGTCAAAAGTCTCGCAGGTCAATCAAATTTAAAAAAAAAAGAAGAAGAAAAAAGAAGACAAAAAAAATGTAATCTAATTTTAGGTCTTTTTTAATAGAAAAAAAAATATTTTTGCAGGAAGAGCATTTTCCTGCAAAAATACTTTATTTTCTTAGGTTTTCTGTATTAAAAGCACAATGGAGTACTGGAGGCACACAAAGAAAATAAGATGAAACCATGAGGGTAAAGTTTATAATATTATAAAAACAGCATTTAAACTGTAAATTTCTCTTTGGGATCAATAAAGTATTTTGAACTGAATTGAATGTGAATAAAATCATAAACTTACGAGAATAAAGTTGTTGTATTATGATAATAAAGTTGTGATTTTGCAACTTAGTTTTTGGTCGAGACACATCTGAATCATTGTTGATCTGCAACAGGGGGCCACACACAAACAAACAAAAAAACACTCTGGACACCCCTGACACAGAGGAAAAGACCCCCAACCCCAACTGCAGTGAGTACCTGCTTGGTGACGTTAGTTGGTGCCCAGATGTTGACGATGGGCAGCAGTCCGGTCTGATCTGCAGCCAGCTGGTAGTCCAGACTGTACTCCATCGCCACGGAGATGGGAGTGATCTTATCCCGAAACTCGCGGTCGTCCTGGGTGATAAGGAGAAGGGAATCAGATGTGCAGCTTCAGGTCGACTTTTTTCAGCTTCATTTTACGAAAATATTCGGTACTTTTTGTCCGTTTTTAAACTCTTGCCTTTCCCAGCCTCTCTTTACACTTTCAGATGAGGTCACACAGGTGGATGACTAATATGTGCAGAATAATTATGAGCATTTAAACCTGCAGATGCAGGTTTCACAAAGTCAAATTGAAGACTTTTTTCCTTGGATTAAACAGTTCCCTCCCCACACCCAATCCTGCATCAATCTCCTCACACTTTGCTCTCTGAATGTATCTGACGTGTTTCTTGTTCTCCTGCTTCCCAGAACATCTGGATTTATACAGACATTAAATGAAATACAGGTGGAAGTAGGTGGCCTCCACAAACACTGGGCTGCACTGGATTTTATGAACAAGAACATGAAAAGAGAGTTAAAAACAAATGGGAACATTCATGTTTTTATTTAAAAATAAATAAATAAAAATTAGTTTTCATTCCATTTCTGTCCCATAAATCCAAAGGGGTATGAGTAATAATTCAAGGCCTTTTTACATAGCTGAACATTGATGTAATCCGTAATGATAGCGCAATCTCTCACTCACCATGTGTGCAAATAAGGCATCACACAGGCCTTCGAAGAGTTGCAGTAACAAATCAACTTCTGAGGGAACAGAACGTAAAAGGGAAAGGGAGGCTGTGATGGCAAGAAGCCGACTGACGGTAGAAAGCTGGACCCGCCCATCATGAAGAACTGAAAGTTCTCAACTTTGCATGTGGGCCCGTCACTGTAACAAATTTTGCTGGAAAATAAATTGTTCCAGGAATTGTCGCGATGAGCTGGATGTTGTTGTGAGACCATTTCCAAGGTGGGTTAAACAATTTAATCTAGTCGAAACGTTCCCCAAAAGAGTGAAAATAAAGCAAACATTGTTGCTTCACCTTCTCCTCCTTTGGACGTCTGACACCACAAAACCTGGGAATCCATATCCTCCTCTTTCCGTGGTTCACAGGGTCGCTTCGCTTCCATGTCTATTATTTAGCATCGTTTGTGTAAAAAGAAAAAAAAAAAGGTGCGCTGCTTTGTGCGACGCCCACATGATGAGTGTTGGAGAGGTGCGCTCTTGCACACTGTAAAAAGCGGGATGTCAGAACAACAGGAGGTTCAAACTCCGCTCATCATTTTTACCTCACAGAAAAAGCAAGTAAGATTTAGGCTTTGGCGTGCCCTTCGACCCCTACAGACTCACACTGATGTGCGCTACGTGCAAAATGTTTTAGCACAAAACATCTTTTTCTTCTCCACAATTTTGTTAATAGTAAAGAGGACTGGATAATAAAAAAATACAATAACTTTTCTTTTTTATTTAAAGGAAAATCACAGTGTACAGCTTCTGCTGCAACAATCCAAACTCTGAGTCACTTGTATGTATGTATATATCTTATTGTTATAAAGGCTGAGCCAAGAAAATGTATGTCCGTATCAAACAAGTAGCCCTTCGTGTTACTCTGTACCCGTGAAGTAATCGGTTGGTGACCCTGGGTCTATGACTTCCTCACCCTTAAATAGACTTCCTGCTCCTCGCAGGCCAGCCGTCTGTTGCTGTTCACCGTCATGTTCTTAGAATACGATAGGTGGCACTGTGGAGGAAGAGGGCGCGTTTGGTCGCCTCCTTCTGCTTCAGGCGGTCCAGCGTGAGGTCCACACGAAAACCTGCGGCAGGAAGTAGGAACATGGTCAGGAGAAGGGAACACTTTCCATCGCAGTACTCCTTCGATATGAATAAAACAAGTGACAATGACTGTGGAAAGTAGTGTAGAGCTCCCCTCCCCCACTTGTTGCTACCAGCTGTCAGAAACTCAACGAACACAGGAAAGTCAAAAGCTACCTTAAACTTTCTTTCATTAACATTTTCCTACGCTGTACTTGAAAACATACTTTAAAAAAAGAACACAGATGGAAACGTGACCTGGAAATTTGGAAAGCGAATTTAGTAGATCTACACTTGGCCAAACATTCTGTTAAAGAATGTTTAAAGTGTTTTTGGTCAGATGTAAAGATGCAGTCGAAACTGAATTTTATGCTTTCACTAGCTGTAAGAAATAATCACCCACTGCATAATAACAAGAAGAACTTTCACTTTTGGAACTGAATTTGTGAAATAGTTGATCCACCGTCTTAGGTTATTGACTGTAACCATAAACGGTTGCAGCCGGTTCACTCACTCAGAGAGGACGGAGCTCCAAACCCGCCGGCTGCCAGACAGTACTTCACTTTAAAACTGTGAAGCAAAACAAACTAATCTCAGTGAAAATCAGCCACGCTGACACGACTGGAGTCAGCTTTCAGTAAAGCTAAGGGTTTGCTTAAACTTTCAGAAGAATTTAGCTAACAGACATAATAGTAGAAAATGTGCAATGTCAGGATGAAAACGGACAATTCATCCGAGATCTGAGCACTCACCACGACACCTGCGTGTTGGTTTGAGGAATGGTGCAGCTCTTCTCCTCTGGGTTGATGATCTGGGGGCTTATGTCTAACGTAGCGTTCACACTGATCACTGGACGAGCTCTGATGCACACAAACACAGACTGGCGTTTATCGCATCGTTTATTGTAATACATTTATTGGCACGATAATCTAGATTTATTCTGGTCACGATAATTACCATTAATTATGTTTAAGACTGTCAGCGCTGTTAGTTTTACTATTTTCCCCCACTGTCTGTCCAATAAAAGCATAAAGAAATATGAATTTGTGTTTAGTGGTACAAATCACACTTTTTATGCGACTTTTATCCTAAAGAAATATTTGACAAATGGGAATCTTTTTCAAGGGCAGCATTTGTGATTGCATTTACAATTGCTGTGACACACAACAATGCAATTACCTGAAACTTTAATAAATCGTCACTTGTATCGCCATCACAATATCGTCACAAAATATCACGATAAAACTGAAAGTCCAAATCGCCCACGCTTACTTCAGTCTGTTTATAGGACGTCCACTACGTATGACTAAGACTTGAAGTGATTGAATAGAGGAACATAGTTTGTGCTCTGAAAGTGTTTTGCACAGATTAAGAAGGGTTAATGTGTTTTAACATGAAGGAGGATGTACAAAGAATCATGTGAATGCTCCTCTGTATTTGTAGCTTCTGTAAAGCAAGTAGGAGTGAAGTGAATGAAAAACAGTAGCTCTTTGATATCAGAGGTGGCCTCGCTCATTAAACTTCTCCCTTTCAGGCAGAGGCATCAGCAGGGGATCACACACACACGCACTCACAGACGAGAGTTACATGGGATTACCTGTATAAAACAGCCTTGTCCGCTCCAAACGCTCCAACTACCAAATCTGTTGGACGCAACCACGGTTCGGTTTTATTCCAGCAGAGTGTTAAAAAGCCTTAAATGGATCTGTTTAGAAAAGTGTTGGTGTGAGTAAAGCTTACCAGGATATCCGTTCTGGTCTATGTCTGTACTTCCTGTCATGGAATAGCCAAAGCTAGCAGGCATGTAGCTGGACGCCCATTTACCCTGCAGGACCTGAGGGGCAGGGAAGTCAGAAAAAATGAAGAGATTTTGAATCTGGAATTTTTATACATTTGTTTTATTTTTTTAAAATTGTTTTTATTTTGTCCATTTAAAATAAATGTGACAACAATGACAGTAGAAGCTGATTCTGAGAGTCATAATCCTATTGCGGGAAAAAAAAAATCCAATAATTCATTGTTAAGCCTCTTATTGTGAAGGTCTGTAGCTAATTGGTGCTACTACAACAGAAACGCTGATCAAACTCAGTTCACAGGATAGGACAGAGTAAGTGTGACGAGGGCGGGTCAACTTTGACCCTCGTCTCATGCTGTGAAATGAGCTCGCGTCTGAAGACAACGGTTGAAGGTTTACCTGAGAGGCTGTGGAGTCGATCCCCGAGGCCTGGCCGTTGTGGATGTAGACCAGGCCGTTGTGGTCCGGACCTCCGTAGGGAGCAGAGATGGCCACGTCTGAGGAGGGAGACATTGGGATCAGAGTCTGCTCAAGACGAAGCGTCAGGGAAACTGACGACTGCAGCACTGGTTCAGCTGTTTGACGTGCAAATCTTGGTTTCAGGGTCTAAATTAAAATCAGTTTCTAGTTTTTTTATTGAAATTTTCCTTGAGCAATTTCAAGAAAGTATCAAAATAATTACCTCATTAGAAGCGATGCAGAGTCCGCAAGTAATTCATTAATTTCAATCGAAAGTGATATATCGACATATGTCCAATTCAAAAACAGTTTTTTCTGCTAAATTACTGAATAAAATTCACATGAACTAAACAACAAAGATATTAGTTATTTTTAATATGTTATTCAGATTATTCAAATTGGTACCAAGTCTGGTTAGACTCATTTAGCTGTTCCTGTGTTTCAGGAGCCCTGGTTCATTCATAGAACTACTTTGAAAAGTTGCTTCAAAAAGGAGAATTGGGGTCATTTGTGCTGGTTCTTATATGTTTAGCATTGAGAAGCTAGTTTAGTCTTAAAAAACCTTCGCTGCCAGGCTAGCTCCTTTAGCACAGCAGTACTCTTTTCCAGCATCTAATCAGATTGTTTTTTTTAAAGGAGCAGCAACGCGGCAGTGGGGCGAGAGTAACGGCTTCGTCGTCTATCGTTGTTTGTGGCTGTCGCTAGCAGAAGTACCAGAAACCAGAACCTTTGTGTTACAAAAAAAAAAAAAAAAAAATTTAATTAAAATTTTTACACATGAATTCTATGTCATTAGTTCAAATTTCATTCGGAATAATTGTTCAATACGTCATTTTTAGTGTTCATATTGCTTGTGATTTCCTCCCTGTTTCTATAATAAGTTCCTCTCCATCTCATAATCTTGAAATAGCTTCCTTACATACTGGCAGCAATTATTCCACCTGGTAGTGGTCTTCTCCTTGTAGTGTGGTGCACAGTGACGTGCGGTCAGCACTGCTTGCACATGTGCTGATCCAGAGAGCGAGAAAGAAGTAGTTTTCAGTTGTACTTTAACGGTTTTCTCCTTTGCTGTGGAGCACAGCACGAAATTAACAATATCTACATGTCCAAGTTTGATTGAGTTAACGGAGTTATTCTACAGCGGCAACGCGGCTGTGGATGGCATGTAATAAAAATAGTGTTTTTGTGTGATTTTCATCCATGTAGCCATCAACCTTTTTCTGATCTTTTGAATTCTGAAAGCTCCAGCTCTATTTTTCCCATCTGAATTTTCTCCATGCGCCTGACGGCTGTGTGCCGTGCTTCATAGTAAAATCTGGTCTAACCTTTGTACCCGTCCCTGTCCAGGTCCCCCAGCGCTGCGATGGCCGAGCCGTATCTGGCGTAAACCTCCGCTCCGGTCAGCAGCTGCGGCGGCTGGAAGGAGAAGCCGCCTCGGCTCAGGTAAACGGACACCTGGGGGACACGCAGCAACCAATTACACGTTCTGTCTGCTGGATCAATCCTACACCGACTACTCATTTCCGCTCTTATATTTCACAGTATTTTGACAAAAACTTTAAACAAAATCTACAATATCATTTAATAGCTTCCAAATAAAATGTATTTAAATGATGGATCACTCTCATTGCCATTTTATTATTACAGATGTATTTCAAAAGATAACATGCTGTAACATTGGGTTCATCTGGTGATAGTTTGAGAGCATTTGATGCAGAATATGAACAAAATACAATCTGGACATATTCAGAGAAGGATCTCTGTAGAGGTGAACCGTCACATGTGAAATGCTTTTAAACATCTGTGTCGTCATGACAGCACAAGTATTCAGGGTGGGGTTGTTTAAAAATCTTTTCATTTTTTTTCACTGGTGTGGATAAAACATTTACTGTGTTGACAGTGATTTAGCTTGATCTTCTCCAGCTGCTTTGCTACGTGTGCACATTCAGTGAATGATGTGATTGTGTGTGTGTGTGTGTGTGTGTGTGTGTGTGTTTGCGTGGGGGAGGGGGGGGTTGATGGGTGTGTTTCCTACCTGTCCCACCTCCCTCAGTTTCCCATCCGAGCCTCGGTCCATGAAGAGGGGAGCTCCGATCAGCACGTCCACAAACCTGAAACCCAGACACCACGGAAATAAGAACCAACCGTCTCGTCTGGTCCTCACTGCTCACTTCACAGTAAAACTCACTGAAATAAGACACCCTCAGAACCCGACACTCACAGAATGAGTTTCCTGCGTGAACAGCACGTTAACGGTTTATTAGCGCTCTTTAGCTAGCAGTAAGGGTTGCAAATCACCAATGGCAGGCAAGATAAACATGTCCTCTCCCAGCTTTGTTTGTTACAGATTAGGAGAGAATCAAGAGACTCCATCGGACACAAGTTACGTTTCCATTAACTGCAGAATTGAGCAAATTGAAATGACAAAATATATATTTGCTTAACAGAAACAGCCATTTAGAAGAGACTCACAAAGCTTTTTTTACTTAGATGAGGTGGGTTTTTGTTTTTTTAGCCGTGTAGGAATAGAAGCATCTGGCAAAACTGGAACAGAAAGATTTCTTTCGCATCATGAGTGATGTGATTGACAACCGAATGTCACTACGATAGAAATGACTTACCACGTGAACAAGCTTATTCACGTGCGATTTTAATTTTATTTTACATCTGACAAAAGCCTCACAATTGTGAAATTGTGTTTTTGACATTCGACTATAGACAAAGATTTGTAACGGGAATGCAGCCCATGTCAGGTTTTTATAGTTTTCAGAAAACCTAAATCCCCCTTGTTTTTACACGCGGAGCAAAGGTCACCCGCGACATGTCACAGCATTTCATTAGCAGGTTTAGGTGAGTGCAGATGTCTGCTTTACATAACGGCATTTTCACACGATGCTCCAATCTTGAAGAGCATCTAAAAGACGTGCCTGATCATATGCATATCCAAAGGAAACAGGAAGACATTGGTGTTGAAGTGTTTGGCACAGGTGTCAATAAATGTTGCCCTTGTTGAGATGCGACGCAACACGTTTCTGAGTGAATTAATCGATTCTTTTCACAGGCTCTAAATAAGCAGAGCCATAAACACTTCAAATGTGACCTCTGCGTTTAATGATGTGCATTTAATGTGACCTCTGCGTTTAATGATGTGCATTTAATGTGACCTCTGCGTTTAATGATGTGCATTTAATGTGACCTCTGCGTTTAAGTGGAGCAAATGGTTCCACTTAAACGCCGCCAAGGCAGGAGGTGGCGTGGGGTTTACACGCGTGCAACATTAAGCCTTCGAGTGGTTTTTGACGCCGCAGCCAGGAAATGTCAGTTGTTAGAGGACGAGGCAGGAAAACCACACTTACCCGTCGCTGTTAACATCAGAGGCAGCCACTGAATATCCAAAGTAGGCAGCCATCTGCACAAGAGAGAGAGAGAGAAGAAGAGGTAGGAAAGCTGACCTTGAAACCGGGAAAAAGGTCAGCGAGCTTTCTACGGGAGCGTGGGTGGTGATGAAGGACAGAAGTCATCGAGCCACGGACGTAAACAAGATGTTCAGAGAGGCAACACCATAAAGGTTGTTGGGTTATTTAGGACGGACAGGAGCAAAAAAAGGAAGTCTGTCATTAGCCCTGCTGATGACAACCTCCTCTTCCCGTCCTTTCAACCCGCTGCCCTCCGCCGCCAGCATCAAGAGTTCAATCAGCGTCAACACGACCCAAAACGACCCGAGGGGTTTTAAGCAAATTGGGCTTCCCCACATTATAGGTGACGGAGGTGCATGAAGTATCAGGCTGTAACAGGAGAATATTAGAAATGTAGAAATAAGCCATAAATCAGTTAATCGCATGATAAATTAAAACCGCCATGATTTATCATTTTTCTTTTCCGTCTCTTTTTCTACTAAAAACCGGAAAAAAACTCTTCAGTGGTGCTTTGGTCTCAACCTTCTTTTGACTCCACAATTCACTGCATTGGTTGTTTTTGTTTTTTCAAATTTAAAATGTTTTCCAGTTCCAGCGTTAAAAGTCCATTACAACTGAAAGTTTATTGATTCTTGGCAGTGCTATCAAATCACTTGAAGATGGTCTCAAAACAACAATATCGCTTGTTTGCGACAACGTCTGGAACAATTTATCGCTGTATAAAATTTATGTCTGCGACAGGTTATAAAATCAGCTGCCTGATTGTGAAAAGGAGAAGATTCAGTCAGTCAGTGGAGCAGCAGAGCTTCTCCTCCTCTGCAGCCACGTCACTACATGGCTTTTTGCTGACGGTTTACCACAAGCTGAATACAGGTTGAAAGCTGATCTAGATACCACAGAACTATTTTAATTCGAGACCCTTTCTTGCCTCTTGCCTGTGCGGCCATAACTCATTTGCAGTGCAGCTGATTTTAACGCCATTAAACATGTAATTTCATTCATTCAGTCGAACAATTACGCGGCAAATCGAAGCGGCTGTTTCCGTTGCGCCGCATTTAGGTTCAGTCCTGCTGGTTTGCACAGAGGCGTCTCAGTGAGAGGAGATGGTTGTTCGCACTCGTTCTAGATGGCGCCGAGCAGAGCTGCATTATAGGAAATGACACATCAACGCAGTCAGAACTCGCCGCCTGTGCTTTGCGTCATTGAACGAAGCTTACCTGCGAGCCGGTGAAGTTAATCATGGACTCCATGTTGGCCCCATTGAAGATGTTCACCTGAAGCAGCAACGCAGAACATGATGAGAATCACACTGGCTGAATCGAAATCTGATCAATTAGTCTGCTGATTGAACCTTTTTAAAATGACAGTTACATATAATGTAACATATAGTTAAGTGGGTCTAAAGCTGCAGTTTTTGGCTTTTGTTAAAACATGTTTGTTTTTTTTACACATTTGTTATGAGATAGATAATCTGTGAAAAGATCAATCTCCTCCATCTCTTCCCTGAAGAAATGCACCAAAAACAACCAATCAGAGTCAGGAGGTTGGTTTTAGCACTTAGCACCTCATGTACTCGTTGCCAAATGTGCTAAAAGCAGAGAAACAACTTTAAGGAAAACTGTTCAGCCGCCGACATCTGAGACAACTGCAGCTTTAAGAGCAATTTAAGAGCATGATAAAAAATAACAACAACCAACTTCTCGTTTATTTCAAGAAGACGAGACACATTCTACAAGCGGAAATAGAGACAGAAACTGGGAAATGGTTCAGTCAAGTTCCTTAAAAGACTGATGAGACCCACAGTCAGCTGTTATTTCCATAATATGCGAATGTGACACATTGATTAGCAGAGGTGCACAGAGAAATCGGCACAGACTGTGCAGTTAGCACAACTAGATTAACATAGAATCACCAAAAGAATCTGAAGTCAGTTTCAAATGTCAGCTTTCCAAACATTTCATCTTTGATTGAAAAAAAATTGTGAAACCCTGCAAAGTTGTGCATTACCGACTGCTCTCTCTCACCGTCACAGAATGCATAGGACTCAAAACGTTTGCCTGACAGAAAAATAACCTACTTTAATTAGTTCTGCCAAGACAAATTTAAGACCCGTGAGTAAAAATATTTTTTAAATGAATTTAAGACATTTCAAGGCCTTCATTTTAGATGCAGAAATTTAAGACTTAAAAAAAGGCACAGACACTAATAATAATTCATTTAAGAATATGTTTAACATTCTTATATGAATTAGGCACTGCATAGCATGAGATGTATTACTATAAAACATAACACATGTCAGATGTGCAAAAAAAAAGAATTTAGAGGCATTTGTGGACTGAGCGCAATGTAGCATAAAAACAACTAAATCAATATGCAATTTATCTAGAATGTAGGAAAAAAAACGTCTCACATCACAGACGAGCGACAGAAGCTTAAGTGCAACAAGTTTGGCCTGTGACACTTACATAACCCAGTGCCTTGTCCCCCCTCGGTACTCCAGTCACATAATCTGTTGAAGACAGAAAACAGAGAACTGATAAACTGAGAACTATTATTATTTCCAATGCCATTTTGGTTGCATAGACTCTCTATACTATTTTAAGTATTGTTATTTTGTTTGCTTATTTTGGGTGCTTAAAATGTTTTCTGGCTCAAGAAATTGAAGTTTGTTTTTTGTAATCTTTAAAAAAAAAAAAAAAAAAAAAAAACTCGCATTATTAAGCCTTTATTGTAAAATCAGTTAAAAATAGTCTCAAAATGACAATATCAATTATCGCAATAATTTCTGGGACAATTTATTGTCCAGCAAAATATATTCTTGTGACAGACATATATGTGTGTTTTTTAATACAATATTACCACATGTAAATGTCTTTATGACAACAATAATTGTGATAAATCTACATTTTCATCACTCCTGTGCTTTGTGTGACACGGTTATTTGTATGTGGGCAGCATTTGGGGATCTACTGCAGTGAGTATCCATCCAAAGGCTGAATATCTTGCTGGTGAGCAACTTCAGACACATCAAACAAACTCATATCACATTCTAGTCTGTTGTGATATTAACATTTCACCCACTGACACTGCAGTGAGGATAAATTCAGAATATAACATATGGTGCTAGTAGAAATGTTTTGGCAGTGTTGTCAATTGTTTTTCTCTGTTTATATATCAAAATGTTTCCATAAATGTGCAGCAGTGAGATGAAGTTGTTGCTTTCCTGTCCCTTTGTACATTTTTGCTTTGAATTTTACATCTTAAGCAAAGTCCAGTAAAACCACAAACCGATTTTACCCTGAGCATCACAAAGAGACCCTGAACCGACATTCTAGATCGAATTGACTTCCATTTCAAACAATTGGCAAACTTATCCCAGTTTCAGCTCTTCATGTCTTTTTGTAAACATTCAAACAGTCCTCAGGTCATTGAGTTTTATGAGGGGGGGGAGGAGAAACCTAAATAAACAGATGCATCCTCAAAAAAAGCGTTGGTAGTGTTGGAATCAGTGGACATACCTTCCTTCCCATCCTCGTTGAAATCCCCGACTGTCACAGAGTATCCTGTTGGACAGAGAGACATGAAATCACTCAGGAAAGATTCAGATCCTGTGATCTTCTAGGCTTCAAGTCGCAATGTTTATGTCAATGTGGCAGAAATGACAAAAGAAATCACTTCAAAAACCTTCGGTAAATACCTCAAAGGATTCAGCCACCATTTTTTTGGACTTGGGAGAAGTCAAGCTTCCCTACATCAAGCTTGCTAATGCACATATTTAAGGATCTTGTCTTGTGTTCTGGTACAAGCGTTCATGTTGGAACAGGAAGCGGCTGAGTCCCAAACTGCTCCCACAAAGATGGAGGCAGGAAATGGTTCATAAAGTGCTGTACATTTAGTAGTTCCTTCCACTGGAACCAAGAAGCTGAATCCTGAGACCTTCTACCAAACTATACACTTCATAGACACGGAAAGCCAGTGTTGTTACCCTGGAAACAATCAAATCCTGACATGTCTGCTGGATTGATCATGTTGATGATTAATCAATTAATCGGATGGAAAAACTCGACAGGTTCAGCAGATTTTTCATAAACCATTTGAATCTTTCTTTTACGCAATATTAGAAATGCATTATTTAATGCATTAAATAAACAAATAATTTGGGTTTTAGATAAGAAGTTAAACATTTTACTACCTAAAATGCAATAACACAACATTCCTTTAGCTTAAGTTTCATCTTTTGTAGCAAAGGACGGACCTTTGGCTACAAAAATCACTTCCAACATCAGCATGTGAAAATCTTGACTTACCTAGATTTAACATCAGTACAATGCAGAACTGATCTGTTCATTATTTTTTAGACTAAACGATTAAGAACTATGAACAGCAAAGGTGCCAAATAGGAGATTGATTTTACAGAATTTGAACCGGAAGCTAAAAACCTGAAGACAAAAATCATTTACGTTTTTTTTTTATTAAGGTAAAATGTAGATATATATTTGTACAGTTTTGGCTTAATTACTGCTCTCAGCAAATGGTTGAAACGGTTAATTGACTAAATTAGCTGACGATTAACCAAATCATTGATTCATTGCAATGAGTCCGATTTCAGACCTAATGGCTTGCTTTAGAGCACTGCATCCGAAACCTTGCGTTGCACGTGGTGATGCAAGACTTGGATTCAACCGGATCGCCATGGAAAAACTCACTCTATATGCAGCCGTCTTTGAGCCAATCTCAACTCCTCTGTGAAATACCTGCTTGATTTTAAACACCTGCGGCCAGAGCAGTGATTGGAACACCTGAATTTGATCATTCGGACGGGTGAGCGAAAACCTTTGGCAGCATGGAGCGTCTTAATCAGGGGTGTGTGAGTGTGTGTGAATACCGAGGTAGCTGTCGTCATACTGGGCACCGGCTGATTTGGTGGAAAGTGTGTTTCCGTACGGCGTGATGTAGTCGTTGTTGAAGCGATTTATAATCTCGTCGACGCGGTCTGAAATCAACTGGCCTGAGGAGAGAAGAAGAGAACGTCGAGGAACAAATCGAGACTCAGGATCCCGCAATCTGAAAAGTGCAAAACTGGAATAAAAAATCTAGAACATAAAATTAGGAAAGAAATATACAGAGAGAGAAATAAGAGAGAAACAAGTGAACTTAATAGTTTCTTTTTTCTTCATTTCAAAGAAAACTTTGGGTGTAGAAAACCCCCTGACGTTATTAAAGCTGCCACAGGGACATGATGCTAACAGCCGTCTAATAAGAAACGAGCTCTGTCTGTGTGTGTGTGTCTGTGTGCGCTTGTGTGTGTGTGGTTGTGTGGGTGTTGACTCAACAGGAAACAATAATTAGGAGAACAGAGCCAAGGAGGAGCCGCTCCACGCAGCCAGAAAACATGTATGCTCCTGAGTCAGCGTTCAGGATGCAGCCGCCGTCACGCCCTCTGAGTTCAGACGGGCTAACAAGGATTACAACCATCCACCGCCGTGGACACATCTTCTGCTGGTCGGCCCACCTGAACCTCACCTCCTCGTTAAACTCTTAAGGCGGTGATGACGCAAGCTGCCCGGTGCGAGGCGAGGCACAGAGTCAGATTTATACCCGGCTGCTCACATTCAGAACAGCTTCTTCGGTTCAACACTGAGCGCGTGTCAAATGTTGGAAAAGAGTTTCTGACTGAACAAAGCAGCTCAGCTGCAGGAGGACCACTATTTGTCTCAGCCGTAAGACAGGTGGACAAATCTTTACTCTTGCGGAGCTGCTTAAGGAAACAGAGTTTGGTCGTCCCGTCTATCAGCTCTCTGTTAGACGGGACCTCCCATATTCAGTTGAAAGGTGACTTTTTTGGGGGAAAATATGGAAGAACCAGACTTTCACTAGCGCCTCCTCTAACATATTTGAGGCACTTTGCTTCAGTTAGACATGACACTATTTATTTAAAGAAAAAAGAAAGGATTCAAACATTGGATGGTTGGGAGCAGCTTAGTGTCATTGAAAGGCAGGAAACAGATGGGAGCAGTAAGGGCTGCCCAGCTCTGTCCAAATATAATACGATCCACCTACCAGCAACTATAAATCATCACATGCAATAAAGAAATAAAATGTAGATGGAAAATATAAAACAGATACTATTATGTTAAAATGCTGTTGTGATGGGTCCATCTTTTGAGTCTGAATGCATTTGTTGTCATCAATTACTGCTTTTATTTCTTATATGTCTTGGCCAAAACACACTGGAGACTGAGCCTCAGACTTATTCTGGTTACGTCAAGATTTTAGAAGAAATCCTGGAGGTCGTGTCTGCACCCAGATACCGACCTCCTCCAACTTTCATTTAAAAGCAGCAAAGAAAACCCCCAAAACAAAAACAAAATAATGAATGAATGCAAGTAATTTATCCAGATTTGATAAATTAGAGCTGGATAATTCATCCAGATGTAAACTGAACACTCACCCTGCCAGTAGAAGCTGCCCGGTCCTCCCACCACAACTCTGTTACTTTCTGAAGCCACAAACAGAAAAAAAACAAATTCAGTATTACTTTCACTTTTTTTTTAGCTTCATAAACATCAGGACATGTTTACACTCCGGTGATTTGGAAAGAATCAAAGACCTCCCATATTCAAAGGGTAAAATAAAAACAAACATGGATTCTCGAGTGTAAACTATTCGTCCTTTTGACTTTTCAAACAAGAACTAATTTTGACGCTGGCGCTTCTGCTAGCATAACCAAAGATTTTTAACTCCATAAACAGCAGCAAAATCACAAAAATAAAATGGTTGTTTTGGAACCCAAAACCTCAGCCTTTGAGGCTTTTTTGTTATTTTTGAAAATAATAATAATAAGATTACATAATCCGAAATGTTCCTCAATGTAATTGAACATGCCATTTCACTTCATCTCTAGCATGGATTTATATCTATTTTATGCATTTATTTCTAATTGTAATGGTTACACCTTGTTTTAATTTCAAAAGTGTTGTTCAAATTAAATGCAGAACTTTGTTCATTTCTATAATAACATTGATAGACGTCTTAGTTTGAACACCGTATAATCGATCCAACACAAAATAAAAAGACAAGTCCTTGAAATCCAGACATGCTTACGTAAGAAAATAATTTTAATCATTAAACACTTGCAGCACTGTAACTGGTAGCAGAAATCAAAAGTGGAAACTGAGCGACTGTGGCTCAGTCTCCAGCATTAAAGTGCCATGAGTGATGATCTGACTTTACACAAGCTCAGTTCATTTACAGTTTACCGCAGGAATTGGCCTCACAGGTCACATAATAAAAACTGTTTAAAACCAACTCCATAAATATTAAAGGATGATCTGTTTGGGTTTGTGCTGCTTGCCTACCTTAAGAAAGTCTGCACTGAAGCCAGCCTGGCAGAAACCCTGTCCTTCTGGAGTGTGGGAACCTGGAAAAAAAACAAAAGTCAAACATTGGAAACATCAAAGCCCGAGCTCACATTTATAAAGGCTGAGACCGGAAGTAGTAGTATTTTTAGCTTGAGCTGGAAGATTTGCTGTTACGTTCTGGGAGTGACGTAGTTACTAAGCTCTATGATGACCTCAAATTAAGCATCCAACAACACAATGAAGAACATACTGGATCTGCAGGGTGAGTATTCCACCACTGTGTCTCCTTTCTTCAGGTAACACGTCCCCACAGGCTCCCTCTCGCTGAAGCCGAAAGTGGACCACTGGTAGAGGGGAGCGCAGGCCTGAAATGCACCGGACACATTCAGAACGTACGACCCAAAACTCAGAGCAAACAGTAACTCGCAGAAGGTCCACCGGCTGCAGTTTTCTGGTCGATCGCAGATCGGCAAACATGAAAAAGACCTGCCGATTCAGATTTTGGCTGATGCTAATTTTTTTAAATCTCAGGAGCAGCCAACCAAAGCCGCACTGCCTCGGTAGAACAGTTTGAACAAAGTGAAACCTGGGGATGTAGGTATTATTAATTTAGTGGATTATGCCACAGCAAAGGAAAGAATAACATAGAAAAACCGTCTAAATAGCTCAGAATCACTCATATTTTTTCCCCGGCCCGCTGTGTTGGCTACGCTACACACAGAATTGTTGCCAAAGCAACTGACGCACAACATCTGTCTGAGGACAGAACATTCAATCTGGTGAAGAATTATGTTTTCAGGCTTGGGTGTATTTAACAACTATTAATAAGTGATCATCTCACACAGCGGTGGTTGATTAGCTAATTTAAACATCTGCTCTACTGTCAGAGTGTGTGTGTTTATCACCTGTTTCTTCTTTTTTAACTGATCTGAAATGCACCAAATTCCACAGCGCATCTATATCTTAAGATTATCAAAGTCAAGCTAGCCAAGTTAGCATACCTGGCTTACTTTCCTCTTCCTCAATATGTTTTTTTTTGTGTGTGTGTTTTTTTAAATTAAAACCTTTCTTGACCGGTGAAATGTGGCACAAAGGGACTTTGCTACCTCGTTGTCATAGTATTGACAATTACTAGCAAAGCAGCGCTTTCATTGATACATCACGCATATTGTCAAATTGACAACAGTGGGGCGACTATTGTTAACCATGTATGTGAAGACGTAACCAGGTAGACGGGTCTATTGCAGAGAAAAAGGGATCAGCGGCTGATTTTCTGACCTTTACGGAGGTTCCACAAGTAACTATTGGGCTAGTTGCCTGTCCCAAAATTAAGGAAATCTGGAATGATTTATTAGTGCACTAGGCGGGATAATAACGACGGAAAATGTTAAAATAGAAGAAACAACATAATATTATTGGCTTTGTCAAACATACCCTATTTCCTTTATTTGAGGACAAATGCTGAATTCTGAGCTACTATATGAAATGGATTTAGGTTTCAAGTTCTCTTTTTCTCTGCATGACTCCAAGTAAACTGAAGACACCCCAGACCAGTTTTTCTTTTGAACCAAAACTGTTTGTTTTGACTTACTGTAATATTCAAAAATCCTTCCAGGTGGAAAAAGGACTCCCAGTGATTTGGGAGTTTTGGTGTCACTGCAGCATAAAGCAATGGGAAGATGAGGTGAATGTGTTTAATCTATAGCTGAGGTAGTCTTATGTGTTTACCGTTTCATTTACAGTCCAATGTGTTGCCCAGGTGTGCGCCACAGGGTTTATATTCACTCACCTCCTACACATTGTACGTCTTTATGGAAAAGCGCTTCTGCATATTCTTACTGCTGCATAACCCTGCCCTTTGTTTTGTTCAAGTTTGACATTTTTGGCCCAGCGCCCAATCCAGAGGATTTCTGGAGAGAATGTGCATCTGTTCTAGAAATCTTGCACTCATTGCACCTGCATTAATGTTCCTCACATTTTCATCCTCCACAGTCCAACGTAAACGACTGAATGCAAGGCAACACTGCTGTGAACATCTCTAGTTTGAGCAGTCTGTGCTCCCACGTCTACGTTTCCATTGGCCATATAATTCAGCAATCTGACATTTTGAAAATTAATTTGCTTCATGGAAAACCCCCTCCCCCACCATTTTCATAAAACACTTGTTTTTAATAAGAGGTTTTAGCGCAAGGATGAAGTGGGGCTTTTAGGCTTCATCAAAATTGGTTTATTTTGCAAAACTGCAATGGAAACACTTGTTTCGCATCACACGATCAACAACCTGACGTTGCCGCTGGCAAAAAAGCCACAAATAAACTGCAAACAAACTTTTTCACTTGCGATTTAAATTGAACTTCGTATTTAATGGAAGCACAGTGACTGCAATATTGTTTGATTTTTGACAAAGGTTTTGGAGCATTTGTTATAAGAACACACCCAGTGAGAACTGAACACAAACGTGTGTGTTTAAGGTCTTACCAGGATGTGTTCTCCGTCAGATCGCACTGAGGCACCAAACCACTGCTTGGACTTAAACTCGATCTGATTCCCATCTTTAAATCGGTTATCTGTGGAAAAAACACAAAAGATGATTGTTAAACTAGATGACAGAAAATAATGTTCTTTCACAGAAGCAACTCGTAAGAGGTATCCAACTGTAGTCTAAGGATCAAAAATACCCTAATTTCCCCCATCAGTGAATGCACCATAACCAAGAACTAATGTGTCAGTTTTTACTGGACAAAGAAGATTCAAAGTCAATCATTTTCTGTGTCAGCAAGTTGGAAAAAGGAAACAAAAAGGAAAAATGTCCTGAAAGGACGTCTCAGTTGTTCATTCAGAAGACTCATGAGACTCAGACAGGAAAAATATGAACATAGACATGCAGCAAAGGTCAGGAGGTCACGACCCACACAGCTGGATTGAGGACTAACAGTCTCTGGGGCACCATAGCGACGCGTGCTGCCTCGGCCTTCTGCTTCCAAACATTGAGATTTCAAGAAATGCCAGGAAGGAATGATTTATTCCAGCAAGGCTGCACTGTATTAAAAAAAACATGATGAGTCTAGTAAAAATAAATACTGGTTGTCAAAAGGTGGTATTGGAAATGGACTTTGATTAGTGAATCTCCAGTGAAATTTAAGGGTAAAACTGTGGGCACCAGGGACATAAAAAGGGAAAAGTGCGTCACTTGTAAAAATGATTTTTCTTACATATTTGTTGTCATGTCATGACAGCATAGAATGAGAAAAAGCAAAATCTCATCAGACGGCAACAGCAGCTCCTGTGAAAGGAGTCGATCCTTTCACACATTATCCGTCACATAACACACTGTCACACTGTTATTATAGAGATGCTGGTGGCATGTTAAAAATATCTACTTTTATAAAAGTTACAATACTGCAGCTTTAAGGAAACAAGTCAAGAATCGGAAAAGTACTGGAACGCGTATTAGGCAAGATTTGACACAGACACTTTGTACGTACGAACAGAGCACTGATAATGGAGGCGACAGCGGCTGGTTCCGTCCAGCTCTCTGCCCACAGACAGAGGAGTAAAGCCGTGCTGAGTTCAGAGACCACAGCACGAAAACACCACTTAGCTTTGAGTCACTTGGATAAATAAAGAGATAAATCACAGACAAATCTGACACAAAGGAAACAGATGAGTAGATGAAGGAAGCAGACAAGACACAAAGTGAGAAAATGTTTAAGATTTTCCAGGCTGATTAAATAAAACCTAAAACATTTGTGTGGAAAGTAGATTTTAAAAAATCCTTTGATTCTCAGAACAGTGTTACTAGAAAAGTATAAGCTGAATCCCATTTAAGCCAATCAGACACTGTGGGTTTATTGTTGAACAGGGTTTGTTTACCCCAGTTTGGCAACGCGGTACATGCTGAACCCATAATCTCTCCGTATGTTAATGAATCATTCATCAATGGTGCAAAGTGTTTGCCGTCAACTATTTACCATGTCAGAAGGCCTGTTGCCATGACAACAGACTGTTTTTGTTGTCAATTTGAGCGCTTACCTCCTAAACCAATGGGTGGACAGAAACCACTTGAGAAAGAGGAACACGACTCTACAAACATAATACCACACTAGCAACACTAGCGCTAATGCTGCAACCGAAATCCTCCTTCACCTATTGAATCTTAATAATTATAGAGATGGTTGATGATTTCAAGGACAATCAACATGATTACAGTTCAGTCTCAGGAAAGAACATGTCTCCCTTCATTCATGAGAATATGACAACATTTTAAAAAAGGAAATAGTTGCAATGTTCTAAGCATATGCATGCATTGTGGGTGATTGCCATGAAGTTTTAAATGTTTTAAATTTCATTTGTGAAACACTTAAATTTCTATTTAACCAAAAAAGAACCAGAGTGTTTCAAAATGTTCATTTAGAGAAATTACCTAATAAATTACCCCAGCAGTGGTCTAAACCAATGTTGTCCACGCCACAAGCTTTCTTTTTTACAGTTTTTGTTGGTGTGGTTTCAGGGGCCGACGGACTGATGGGACAACTCTTTTCTTCGACAGTGACATCTGCCGCGCTCCTCCTGAGCGTCACGTTAGGAGCTTTTGGTTTGTTTAGTTAGTTTTTCCACATTATTTGAAGCTTGTTTAGTTAAAATGTGTTGCATGACATGTTGCAGTAGAAGGACATGCTGTAGAAAAATCATGTATTTAACAGTCATTTCAAAGTAAATATCTTCCTCATTAAATTGTTAGTTTACAAAATTAAAATTTTTATGTTTTAAACAACTGCTGCTATGCGTTAATGGATGTATAATTTTGGCACTGATCTCACCGCACAGACAAGATGGCATAATTGCAGAGTAGGAAACCTTACAGATTTACATCGGACATATTTACATCTGTTTGTTTCAGCGGAGCAGCTGGAAATCAGACAACTGACATCTCAAAGAGCATTTAACAGAAACAGCAAGACTGTGGTGAAACGTTGTGAGTTGGTCAAAATGAAAACGAGTCAGAAATGAGTCAGAGTCATACCACACAAACACACACACACACGACTTCCAGTTAATTCTGCCATTCCAGTGAAGCTTTGGTCAGCAATCATGCAGGTCAAATCAAAAACAAAGACCTCCTTTGTAAGAGAACACACACGGACGCACACGCACGCACACGCAAACAATCCAACTAGGCCACTCAGTAACTGCGTCTGTTACCCTACAGCCTCTCAGTGTCAGTTTTTCTTAAAGGCGCTGGAGCAGTGCAGATATTTGCTAAATCCATCTTTCTGCAATATTACGGCTGCAGTCTGAATGCAGCGAGAACATATCCTGTACGAGCAGCCTCCTACAACTTGCACTTAATAAGGCCATGTAAGACGAATTTACCTTTTATGGGCATAGCATGCCTGGAACTGAGCGCCGCATGAGGCCAAATGCTCCAGGTGTTCCAACAAGTCTTTCAAAAGCCAAGAAGCCTAAGCCACTGACACTGTGGCTACCGAGGAGAACACTGGATGTTTACTGTGTAGGGAAATTTAAGGTTACGCCGATTTAAAAGAGCCACACAGTTCCCCGCAACAACCAAAAGTCAATAGTTGCCTAATTTCATTGACGGTTGTTGACATTGCCAACTTCAACGTAATCTTACGAAGAAAAATCAAAGAAAAGTGGCATCAAACCTTACAGACGTTATAAGAATAGCCAATATTAATCTCCGACTTGCAGCTTTCAAACTCCAGTTCAGATGTGGACATTTGCTACTGATCCAGTTTTTAGGGTAAAAAAAACAAAACACACAGGAGTTGAACTCCCACAGGTTCTACACTGCACATGTGTTTTCCAGATAGGGGAGCAAAGTCAAAAGTCATTACGTCCTTCATCAAACAATTCCCAAAAAACCTTGAAAACCTTTTTGTGAATTTCTGGCCCGCATTAACATCATTGCAGGTGTTAATGCGGAGTTCACCCATATTTAGGGAAGCGAAGAGGGGTGTTCCGTCTCACCGTCAGTTCACGAAACCACAGACAAAAAAAAAACTAAATTGAAAGTGCACTCTGGGGTCAATGACTTCTACTTCTGTCATTTTCAATCAACATATACACTCAATATCAATTATATGCAGCTATTTCTAGTCTTATTTTACCTGTTTGCGCTGCTGCAATGCTTTATTTTCAAAAGGAGCAGCATATTTTAAAACGTCTCCAGCATTTTATTGTGAAATCATCAATGAAGCCTAAGGTCAAACGAACATCAAGTGTTTACTTTGTTTGTCTATGTTGCTCTGAAATGACACAGTCATAACTTGGCACACAAGTTATTCCAAGCATGTAGGATATCCAGGCTGTAGTGTCTATTTAGTGGATATATAAGAGCGGTGCGGGCTCCACTGCTTTAGAGTGTGGTGTGTTTGTTGCAGCCAACTTCAGTTTGCTGAGGTCTGCCACAGAATACCAACCAGACTCGACTACACACACACACTCACACACACACACAATAGCTCCCCGTCCCACAAACACACTGCCGTCCCACTTGGCCTGAACTGCTCTGTGTTCCAGCGGCTCCAAAAGCTTCTCTCTGTTTATCAGAGCTTTCCAGTGTTTTCTCTGCTTTTAGAGCTGACCTGATTTCAAGAAACTGCTGAGTGTCAGACATGAGCTCTCATTCCGACGCAGCACGCTAAGCAGGCGGGAACTGGTTGGACTTTTTTACATGAGCCTGTATGCGATCCAGCCCAACACGTTTTGAAAAGTAGCGGGCTGGTACAACGTTGACGTGATTAGCGAGCGTGAGCGACGATGCCACAATTCAGCTAAAATGACGTTTGTGCGCTTCAGAGTGTTTACCCAGCTGCTGCTCTACCAGCAGGGAAGGAATAGGAACAGATGTAAGCCACAACATAATAGAAATGCCTCCGGATGTCAGGCGGAGAAACATCAATGTTGTAATTGGAAAAGTCGGCGCACCTGACGGTGATTGCGCCACCAGTTGCTCCGAGGCAACGTTTTAGGTTCTGCAAGATGGAGCTCGTTTGTCTTTTTTCCTCTGCCTTCTGGGTTACTGGAAATGTGTACCTTGGTTTTCTAAAAAAAAAGCTTCAAAATTTTTCTTAGTACTCGTCGTGTTTGTCTCCTGGAGGAAAACAAAGTGAGTCATATGCAGATCCGGACCGATGATTGAGACTGCGCATTACAGCTGTTACAGAGTCCTACAGCAATTAGGAAATATACTAGGCTTGTGTATTTCCTCTAGGGTTAAAATGTGTTTGGAAATCATACTTGTAAGAGTCCGTGATAGTCAGAGTTGGACCTTAAGAGTGAGGCGATGCTGCCACGCCCCAAGGCTTGGTGATAAACCAGTAATAATAAACCAACCAAAAAAACTGGCTTCCTGCACACTCAGTGCATGAGGCACTCAGTTCTGGTAAGTGTGTGGGACTTTATCTGACTGCTATTAATTTGCCACATCACATAACAGTAATATCGCTCATTTCTGACTGAAGCAGAAAGGAAATGAGCTTCTGGAAGATAACAGAAGAGGAAGGATATCTCACAGAGGAGATAACTTTCAACAGATCAAGGTTAAAAATGTGTTTTCTATTTGCATCCAAACCTTCTATCTGCTTTTGCAGAGATGGCAAAGTGAGGATGAAGAGCAGCCACTCACAGTTTTAGTGCGACTTCTTTTGCAGTTCAATAATGATACAAATCTGACCCAATGTTTCAGTTTTACTCATGGCAAAATTATTAACAAAAGTAAAACCTTTTTACAATAAAAAACTTGTAATTTACACAAAGCATTTATCTGTCGCATTAAGCAATAAATCCATTAATCGCATGGTGAATTAAAACAAGCTGAACAGATTTATAGTTTTTCTTTAAATCCAAAAAACGAATGAAAAAGATTTCAGTCATTGGACTCAAATAGCATTTATGGAGGACAAGTTTGTTTACACAGACTTCATAATTCACTTTACTTGCGGTTATTTATTTTGGACATTTAAAATGTTTTTCCAGTTCTGCTGTCAAATGTTCATTAAAATCTAAAGTTGGTTGTTCTTTGAGGATGTGCTCTTGCATTATTAAGCCATTAACATTATATTACTAGAAAATAGTCTCAAAAACAATAATATTGTTCATTCCGATAACTTTTTGGACAATTTATCGTCCAGCAGAATTTGTTATTGTGACAGGCTTATTGTTAATAATGTGTGTGTTTTTTTATGCAAATAGAACCATATCCATGCAGCAAATTTTACTCAGAAGCAGATTTTAGTTCACCCAGCTCTGGTTCACATTTATTTATTAAACTTAGCTGAATACAACGAGCGTTTTCAAAGAAGCATTACCCAAACCCTGCTCTTAATGCTGAAAATGGACTCAATGTTTTTCTATGCAAGATAACTGTAAAACAATTGACCTTATAAAAATGAGCAAACTAAACATCTTTCTTTTAATACCTCAAATTTAAGGACAACATGCAAATATGTTTTTTTTTGTGTGTCTAGAGTGATTCACATGTTTAATGAAAAAACACTTCCCTAATTTGTTTAATCAAAATGTAGTTTATTACTCAGCAATAAAAAAATAATAATTTTGACAATTATAACCACCTTAAAATAGTCAATGTTTATGATTAGAAAAATTTCAGACCGTTCTCATAATGGAGAATAAAACATTTTTATGTATGAGAATAAAACAATTTTAGTGTTTGAATCACAAAAATTGTTTTAAAATGTAGACAACCTGGTGTCCCCAACTTCGTTCCGGCTAGAAGAATATACGACAAAACCTAAGACATTTGATTAGCATATTAAAGGACAACTTGCTTGTTTTCTGATGAATTTAAGGTTTTTTAAGGCCCTAATTTATGACAGATGAATTTCAGACTTTGTAAGGCAGGGAGGTACAGCCTGTTAAAGAAACACTTGCAAACTTGGAGAAACTGCGGGAAGAGAACTTGCCTCCACAGATGAGCCTACATTCCTCCTTTAAAATACATTCCTGAATGTGTCCTGACATGAGGCAACAACAGCATATTAAGCTCAACCCTCATTAACCTATTGATGACACTGTAAAACACAACCTCATCCGTTTGGGCGACAGCAGGCCTTTGTTCACCGCAGCTTGCTTTAATCGCAGCAGATTTATTTTCAGAAAGCAATCCGGTGGGTCGCAATGACCTAACCTAACGGGTAAGACGGCGTTTTGTCTCCAGGCCACCGGGGTCATTCTGTTTGTGACAAATTTAGACAGTTTTCACAGTTAGCCATGAGTCAGGAAGTGCAGCATGAAGCAGACTTCTGAAGAAACCCATTGTGGTTTACCCTGTCATCTCCTGCAGCTGTGCCTGACTAAAACCGAAATGCTAACGCCGACACAGTGGAGGTGGGTGACATGGACTTAAAGTATTAAATATTACTTTTTTAAATTTTTAATTTAGGGGTAACAGTTTTTATTTAGAGTAACGATATGAGTCTCTGGTCGAAGCCATAGCTGTGCATTAGGGAGTTTGCTCCTGGTTACCTTTGTCGTCGAACAGCAGCTGCCGGCAGCTGGCGGAGTTCTTCCAGGGACAACTGTACACAGCTCCCCTCTCCACCACGGTGCTGCTGGACGATGTGTTGGCCCGGGGCGCTCCGATGAGAAACGTCGGAGCTGAGGAGGAAAAGGAAGGCGGTCAAGTACCAGCAAGATGAGAAGCAAGGATAAAACGAGAGGCATTTCGTTAGTTTCTAAACAAGAATCGGGTCGTGGACGGAAGATGCCCTTTCAGACTGTCGTCATCTCTGCGTTTTCAAATAACATTACGGTCAGTGCTATAATGAACTGGCTTTGATCAAAGTATATTCATTCAATCAAACTTCTGGTAACATCTCTTGTTTGTCAAACTGTTTTAACAAATATCAGCCAGAAAAACCAGTGACAGCTCATTCAGTTTCTACAATAAATAAAGTGAGAGTTATTGTGTTACTCGTTTTCTGAATTTATTGCCCTTCTGCAAATCTTGTAAATACAAGTGCAGCTTGGCGATATAAAGCGAGCGCTTGGCTGCCTGCAGTGATGACCATTTTCATCTGTGTTCAGAACAGCAGGCCTTTGTTCATAGCAGCCTGCTTTAATTGCAGCTGATTTATTTGCAGGAAGCAATCCAGTGTATCGCAACATACAATGAGGGAAAAAAAATCTAACGGGTCAGTCGGTATTTTTGTTTCCAGGCCTCTGATTTATCGGAACATCGATTCTGAATATTAGGATGTCAGCTGACAACATCAGGAAAAAGCAAATCGCTGTCTAGAAGAATTCAGACAGAGTTTAACTTCCCCTGTTAGAGCAGTGGGGATCTTTATAGAAACATGGGAGCATATGGGTGTGTCGTAACACAATGTTGAGATGGAAAGTTGGCAGCAGTAACCTAGCAAATGCAGTCATTGAGACACATCAACATGGAGCGAGAATCATGAAATGAGTTAAAACTATTTTAAGAGAAAATCTGTCATCAAGTAGAAGGTAGTTTGCTGGTGTGAACATCCCCAAAGTCAGATTTCCAAAAGAAAGACAACTCAGGGTTTCCCCTGGAATATTACAAGCCTGGCAGGCCACCAGGCTTCACTTGCTCCCATGCAGGCTTGTTTATTTTAAATAGCGTTTTTATACACTTGTGACAGTAAACATGGATTAAGCTAGATTTATGGTTTAACAAATTTGAACACTCCCTTGCCATTGAACACAGCAAGGAGATGCGCCTCTTTGGCCTCACTTTATTATTTTCAAATTATGATGCCTGCATGTACACCTCCACATTTTTGTAATTTCTCTCAGTTACAAAAATGTTACTTTTTGTGGGCTGCCTATAGCATCCCTACCACCAGGCTTGGCAGGTTTCGTGAGGAGGAACCCTTGATAACCCAAACTTTGCATACCTTAGCAACTCGCTGACTTGGGTGTGGAACAATCTCACAAAGGCCGACAGGACTCAAGTAGTGATGTTTGGCCGTAATGAACAACTTTATATTTGAAACAGAGGCAACAACAGTGTAGCAGCACATATACCTTATAGCAGCTGTCAAGCAAAGTGGTAGAGTGGTGATTTGGGTGAGTTCAGTTGCGCGTTCACACCTCCCCAAACGAACCGGGCTTTCTTGACAAACAAACCAGAGTTTGACTAAAGCGGACCGGACAGAGATGGCGTAAGTGTCCAACTGCTGAAGCTTGACCCCAATTTGGGTCATAATGCAGCACGGTGAAGCCAAACACAACAGCAAATTTACAGCAGAGAAAAGGAATAATGGCTAGTGCAATCACCCAGTCAGTCAAAACCTTTGCCTGATCCAGCCCTAAGAAGGATACACGTAAAAAACCTGTGGATCTTAAATAATATCTAGAGTAAAATCAGAGAGAAAAAGCCAAAATTCATCCCTAAAATAAACTGTTGTATCATTAATTGTAGAAAGGAGTGTGTACAATTCTTTCCCGCTTGTCTTTCAAATATTCACTTAAAGCACAACAAGCACATGTCAGAACCAGACTGAATAGCATGACAGGAACTAGCTAAACCTAATTACTCTCTGGTTTTAGTGGAATGGAGGAAGATAAAAAAAAGACATTTATAAGAGCTACTTTGAGACAGAGTGTTCTGTCTCAATGTAGACATTGTGTTACTACCAAAGTGCTGACACAAGTAACGGGTAGTTGTGTTATCTCCAAATCGCTCACTCTTCCTGTTTTTTGGCTTTTTACTGAACAAACTCACTCAATATGAAACACACCCAAACACTTTGGCGATCAAGAATTTGGTCAAATTGGCCAAAGAATTTATTACTGATTTATTTGTCTTGAGTAGCAAATGTCTAAGAAAAAGTTTATCAGCAGAATTTTTTTTTTTTTTTTTTTTTTGTGGGACTGAGAGGAAGATTGTGTTTGTTGAAGGAATATGTTTGATGATAAAAGTTTGGCTGTGCAACTTGCATGGGAAAACTCAAATAATTGGCATAACAAAAAACAAAACTGAAGTCTTTAAGACGCTTTGCGTGCGTCAAAGGAAGTATTCCACTATCTTGTCAGACAGACGTGCTGAAAATAGACACGAGAAAAGAGACATGGAAATGGGAGACAAAAGTCAGAGACGACTCGCACAGTTCAGCCTCACATGGTGGAAACACAATACCTCTGGAAATAAGTAAATATTCCTCTTGGACTGCTTTGAATCACAATGTATACAGACTCTTGAAGAAAAGAGAAAAAAAAGTTTGTATGAACCATGAGTTTTTCCACTACGTCTTGTTTCAATCTCAAAGCATTTCATTTACATGTCAGACAAAAACTAGTGCATGATTGTGAAGTGGAAAGCATCTGATTTAGATATGAAAAGATGAAATATGAATCTTAAATCAAAGCTTATAGAGCCACCTTTCACCAGAAAACCTGAACATGTTTTGTTCAAGGACTTTCCATTGATTGATTGATTGATTGTCTGTTGGGTCATTGTCCTACTGAGAAAAAAAAATTAAAAAAATCAATCTCCTGCACCTCTTCCCTGAGCTACTATGAACGTCCGAAGAAATTAACCAAAAACAACCAATCAGAGCTAGGAGGCAGGTCTTAGTGCTGGTAAATGTGCTAATGGCGGAGAAAATCAGTTGTCCTCTGTAGTCGGTGGTTGCGCTAACTAGCATTAGCTGTTTTAGCAGGATATGTTGTGGTGATCCAGCAAGGGGGAGAAGTTCAGGACAAGAATGACTGACAGCGCTAAAACCCTCCTCCTGGATCTGATTGGTTGTTTCTGACTGTGTGGTGGATTTCCTGAATTTTGGCAGATCGGTGATTGACCGATGCTTACATGTGAAGCCAATCTTTTCAAAATAAAGCTCATGAAATAAGCCACTGGCCTCCTCTGATCTCCTCTTAGAGAGGTTTGACTGACAGATCGACTCACCAGGTCATGTCCAGATCATGTCTGCATATCTGCAGTTAACAACAGACAGTCCACTATTGCCAACTCATCATCTTTTTTGCTATATTTAGCTGCATTTCAGACACACACGCACAAAAAAAAAGGTATCCGCCAAATTCGGAATCGACAGATCAGGTTTTCTAAAGATTGGTGATCAAACAGAAAACTGCTATAGGTGCACCTCTAGTTTGAATAATAATTTGCAGCATAAAATGTATTTATTGGCATGTTTGGTGTATAAATGTACTGCGTAGTGAATGGCACCACACTATTTTACACAGTCTTGAATTGATTTTGGTGGATCTTGTGAGGCTTTTTTCCCACTTTTATTGCAATTCCCTCAAATTTTAACATTAAAAATTCTAAGTCAGTGCACCAACTTCAGCAGAGATGACAATGTACAGTAAATCATGCTGTTCAAAATAACACGTTTATTGTATAAATTAGCCCCCCCCCCCAAAAAAAAGAAAGAAAACAAAGGATTGGAAGAAAATTGTAAATAGCTCATACTAAAGAGAGCCTGTTTGTGAAATTATAAGATTTTCACGTATCCGACGCCGTCATTGCATTTTTATCTCAGCTTTACTGTGTTGGGAGTAAATCAGCTTACAGTTAAATTTGATAAAGAAATCAAAAGAAATACCTTTATGTCCAAAAACGAAGCAGATAGACTCCGGACATTCCCAACCGAGAGTGAGACAGCGAGTATTGCACTTTCTGCTGCTCTCTGCCAGCCGGAGTTCAATATCAGTGGCCCAGTTCTTTATCGATTCACCCTGATTGGATATCGGCGGCTCAGACAGTGAATGAAACACAACACCTCAAAGTGCTTGCTTTGTAATCAGCTTAAAGTAAGAAACATAACCTACTTTTGGATTAAATAAGATGCAATTTTAATTCCTTTGTTTTCTATTTGATTCACATGTGTGTATTGGCCTGTTGTTTGTCGGATTAAAGGTGCCTCCTGAAAAGAACAACCTTTAAGCCTCATTACACCCAAATTCTGGTTTTAAAGAGGTTTTTTGACACGGTTTTTTATTTGAAATGTCTTTCCCCCCCCTCCATTTACTATATATGGGAAATCATCATAATTAACAGAAACACACTGTTCCAAACTCACACCTGTGTGCGATTGATCTATATAAATGTGTTTCACATAATAAGTTTGATTCGTCAGACAAATCTGGAAAGAAATCGGACATCGCCGGTAAAAAAGCCTGATCAGTGCAACTCTCATCAGGAGAGAAAGGACCACAAAGGAGATGCTGAGGCGTGCAAAAGTTTCGGTTCAGTTGCTACTTGGATGTCTTGAAATGCAACCAGGAAAAGTTTGTTTTCGTCCCCAGAAATACGCTGGGAAAAATATTTGTCCAGACTTTCTATGACTAATGGTGGAAATTGTATGAATAAGCATTAAGAGTTCCATCAGTGAGCATTATGCATTAAAAAAAAGAAACCATCAGACTCACTTTTGGTTGGTGGCGGATTTAAAGAAGTCCACCGAGAACCCGAAGTAGCTCCCCTGGGGTCCGGTGTAGACGAAGGGTTTGTCCACGTCCAGGTTGAAGGCGACGCCGCGGTGGACGCTCGCGCACAGCAGCGCGAGCAGCCCGACGACAGCTGTCCGAGCCCCGGCCATGGCCGCTGCGGCTGCCGGAGATCCCCGCGGCTTCACCCCGGAAGACGCCGAGCCAGATAGGACGTTACCCCGGTCACCCCCCCGCCCCAGTCGGTCACCGAGACTCCGCGGGGCTTTACGCCGTCAACAGCGGCACTTTCAGGAGGCTGGGAAATGTCAGCGTTCCCAACGGGAGCAGTTGGAGAACAAGCCTTGTAGAGCGTCAAATGAACCAGGTTCGGCTTCCAGCTGAAGCCGCCGAGCCGCACACAGCGAAGGGAGCGAGGCGTGAGGGTCACAGGGAGCCCGGTTCGGGTCGCCTTCGGCTTCGGCTTGTTTTTGGTTGATAAAAGAACCTGGACGCCTTAACCGAGCCCCGAACTGAGGCCAAGACCGTCTGAGTACGAGGAATGTGTGGAAGTGTTGTCAGAGCTTGTTCCAACGAGCTAAAGTCAGACAAATTAACGACTAAACCCCCGGCTAACAACATCCGCTTAGTTCATTTCAAAATAAAAGCCGGGAGCACAACCACGTTCAGAGTCCTTTAATGTGGAAGCTTGACACCAGTGGTTTATTTTTTGTGTGTTATGCTGACAGACATTTTAAAATTGGGACTTGGACTTTGTTATTTACGGCCGTCCTAAGGTGCAAACCACTTCAGCAAATAGAAAAATGCACAATTGCAAACTACAAAAGCGTTACAACATTAATGAAAGCGCTTGGAGCCAACATAGTGACTATATTGTGACTGTGTTCAAAGTTCAAGTGAACTGAAATACATGTTTACCTTGTACTGCCAAGCAGTCAGTACAAGGTACTTTGCATAAGGCAAAGCAAGTGTTTTTTTAATATAGCACACTAAAACAAATTTAATAAAAACAAATTACACGGTAACAAAAAATCAGACAAAACATCAGACTACAGTGGTATAAAAAAGCAAAGTAATGAAGATTGAAATACAAATTATACAATCAGGTCTATGAATTCATCTCTAAACATGCCTCCCCCCACAAGATGTCACCCTGGGTGGTGATCCATGTTGCCCATGTGAGAAACCGCCACTGTCACTGTTTATTTGTCTCGTAACAAACTGTCATTACATGATGACAATTTTAACAAATTATGTTAAAAAAAATTAACAATAAAAAAAAGCTTAAAAAAAATCTAAGTTGCATTCTGCAGCTTTAAAATAGTTCCTTATTTGCTTTGTTTTGGGGATTTTTTTCTTTTCTTTTTAGATCAAAAAAGCCAAATTTTGTTGATAAATATGGAGAGCCATGTCAGCCAAAATTAAATGACTGATTTGTAAATGCAATTTAAAAAACAAACAAACAAAAAAAGGGCAAAAACATTTTAGGGGGTGGATACTTTTCATGTTCACTGTAAATGAGATACATTCATGAAGTGTGTAAAACAGTATTTTTAAATGCGTGTTAACAACAAAAAAAAAACACATAAGTTTGTAACGCTTTAAAATTTTAAAGCGTAACTAAACACCTTTATTTTGAAAGTCACGTGTTTTCCCTAACGGAAAACACGCCTTTAGCTTCACAGCGAGGCGTTTGATGGACAACAGGAAGTTCATTCCGGAGCGTCAGACAGAAGAAGCGCACACAAGACAGGCAGCAGAGACAGGGAATGTCTCTGAGGTCCTCTGCTGTCGGGGTCAACTGAAGGTCATCAGATGATGGCGTAGAACCGCACAAAGTGATGACGTACTGTATCTCTTTATATTAACCTTAATCTCCTGGAATATGTGTGTTTATAGTGAAAAACACACAAAAAACCCTCATTTCCTCCCCTTTAAGCCAACCGTATTGTGAAAAAGCACATTGATTGGACAGAAAGGAGACGTCATGGACAATTCTTCCCTATTTTTATTACTTTGTGTCAACGAATGAAAAGAAAAGAGCATCTGAAAAGTAAACTGCGTCAAGGTCTTCATATCAGTTCAAGGAGAAATGACTCATTTGAAGGCAGGCACGTCCTAATTCAAGAAAATACAAAGCCTTCTTGGCAACAATTTCCCAGTTTTGAAAGGAAAACTCTTTATTTACTTTTGAACACGTTGAATGTCAGGGGAAAGAAGAAAACATTTAAGAAGAAGGCAAACAAACAAAAGCGTATGCCCGATAATCAAACAAAAAAGCATAAAAACTTCCATATGCAGTTTGAACCGGAGGACATATTTGTATGCATCATTTTTACACGTCGCAGTATCTGCTCTTTCTGAATTGTATCTGTAAAATGAATTCATTACCATTGTGCAGTCTACACCATGTCTGCCATTAAGATGTCCAGCTGCATTTCGTCTTCAGCAAAACAACCAAAAGCTAAATGTTCCTGTCCTTTACGTACAAACAATCTCATCTGGTCTAGAAATGTTTTTTTAAAAATGCTGTCAAATTAAACCAAACATGCTTGAAATGACGTTATCAGAAACGCTTAGTTCTTTGTTTTATGCAAATAATATATAAAGTTTGACTCAGCTTCATTTTTTGCAAAACCAAACCAAAACAAACCCAAACATTTAGCTTCTATCCAGATTATGCAAATGCAGGAAAATGCTTCCAACTTTTTCCAACCCGGCCAAGATTGAATCCGGCCAGAGTGCCAAACAATGATCTCTCTTTTTCTGTGAAAGTGGTCACCCGGCTGGCTTAGGGCCACGTTGCATGCGTGCTGTTACAGAGAGAACATCTGGGGGACGACCCGCCGCTGGACTCCAGCTGCGGGTGGAGCCCAGCAGCTGGCGACGTCCTTCGCCCTGAAACCCGGGTCCGGTCACGTCTGCGTCCAGGCAGAGTCAGCGAGTGAGCTGGGGGCTTTTTCTTTTTTTGTTTTGTTTTCGTCTTATTTGGCCATGAACCGGCCCGAGGTATTGCAACAATGAAGTGTGCTCTCAAGAATGTGTGGCAGAACTCCCATGAGGTTCCAGAGATCAGGGGGTTGATGTGTTTATGTGAGAGGGAGATTTTAATTCACCCAGCGTGAAACATCTGATGACGTACCGAGACAAACGAGCGAGTATGCTGTGTGAACGCCACGGAGAAATGTGTTTCCGAAGAGAGACGAGAGTGTTTGGAGAACGGAGTGGAGCGAAAACATGGTGTGTGTGTGTGTGTGTGTGTGTGGTGTGGGTGGGTGTGTGTGTGTAACAGGAGAAGTGGTGTAATACAAATTGTGTGAAGCATAGCTACAGATTACGTAGCCTGTGGAAGAGCTAGTTTGGCTTCAGAAGTTCAGAACTCACAGGGACCAGTCTGAGTTTGGGTTGGGCCGGAGGGCTGGGTGGGAGGTATGAGCATTTTTGCAGAGTGAGGATATTTTGGCTGCACTCGCTTCGGACTGCGCTTTATAAGGGACCGTTTAATGCCTGAGACGTTGGTTCCGAAGAGGTACAGTAAGAAGAGCGGGGCGAGCCGGGCCTGGTGCTGGTTAAATCTGCAGCAGTTTTCATTTTGGGCCACTGTGTGTCAGTAAAAATTGGGCCTTGCTGTATGTCAAACCGCCTCGAGGGAAACTCACACTCCTCAGAGTGAACTTTTTCTCAACTTCCATTGGGATTTTATGTTGATAGATCAATGTAGGTGTGAAGTGGGAAGAAAACGGTGAAGGGTTTGCTAATTCTGTCATAATTACGAATCTGGAATTGAGACATTTAATCGCTGGCAAAGATGTCACTTGGCCTAGCATTTCTCTATTCGCAGTGAATAGCTATGTCCGCTATGTCCGTAGGGCCAAACGTCAGTCATTGGGTCAAATCGGATCCAATCATTCCAGAGCACTTAAAACATCAACAGTCCACACAGTGATCAGTTCTCAACAACTCGAGGGTTCAGGCCTGAGGACTATTGAAGAAAGAGCAGAACAAGTGGCTGGTTTTTGCCAGGCTATGTCATTAGACTGTGGAGTCATTAAAATTCCCAATATAGTCAATTGTTGGTGTGAGTTTATACAAATGGTGTGTTTGATCCTTGTAAGTGAGTCTCTTTTGTCAGAGAAATGACTCGACCCCTGACCCAGCAGTAGCTAATAGTCTGCTGGCATGACGAAACGGTTACTGTTGGAAAATCCTTATAATTGAGGCGAGAAGAGGAGCAAAGTTGAGTTGCAGACAGAGCAGGAGTTTTAAAGAGACAGAGGCCCAATTTCAAGGTATTAAATTAGGAAGTAAAATAAAGTATTTATCTCCTTTACATCTCTACCAGCTTTTCACATCCAGAGGCTAACGTTTTGTGTCAGACGTGTTTCACTGAAGCTGAATTGTAATCAAAGTGACAATCCTCGGACTTCTCAGCTAAACCCGTCATTATCCCGACTATCTCATCTTGGCTTGTTTTGGAGCTGCTAACCACAAATTAGCAGACTAGCCCTTCCTGTGCGGCTGGCTCCTGTTCTGGCAGAAGTGTTAGTGATGTATGATGCAAAGATCAAAAAAGATGCAGAGTCATTGTCCTGTTTCTGTCAACATAACTTGATTTCACCGGTTTAAGAGTCAAACACTGACAGCAAAAAAACAAAACAATAGTCTGCTGTCATGGCTACAGGCCTGCTAACGATGTAACTACCCGGTAGCAAACACTTTGCACCATTGCTGACTAATTCATTACTGCGCCTAGAGATTAGGGTTTGCAACATCTATGCTTTGCCACACTGCGGAAACAAATATTGTAAAATATCATCCCCAGCATCTGATTGGCTGAAACATGTTTTAGTTGAATGTATTTAGTTCTGAGAATCAAAGGGTTTTGAAAGCTTTCCAGCTGGAAAATCTTAAAGATTTCCCCACTTTGTGTGCTGACAGATCAACTCCAGCCAGGCTGAAATATTTGTTCCTTCTCATGCTCGTCTGTTTCCCTTGTGTCAGATTTGTCTCTTATTTATCTTTCTGTTTATTGAGGTGACTCAGAACTAAGTGATCTTTTGGGTTGTGATTTCTGAACTCAGCCACCACAACCCTTTCAGTAGTGGGGTTGAACCAAACCGCAGGCAAGAACTCAGTGTGGTCAGTGAATACATCTTTAAATAAAGATGAACATTTTCAGCTAATTATATGTGTAATAACAGTGTAATAACTGAGAGGGATCTCAGAATGCAAATGAGGGGAGCATTAACTGGGCTTCCATAAGAAATCTTTGCAAAAAAAAAAAAAAAAGAATTGTCAGTATTCCACTAATGTTGAAAAAACACAATTTCGCAGTTGCTGGAACAGGAAGCACAAAAACAAGCACCTAATGATCATGACACCTTTGAATTGTGTATTTGAATTTGAATTGTGAATTTGGTTGTGGTGTGAAAATCCTATAGCACTGAGAATAGCACTTGACTTTGGTGTTGCTATGAAATGACACACCCAGTCAAACTGGTTAACATCACCAGTGGATTCCAATGAAGACTCCAGAAATGTATTGTTGTTTTTTTGCTTTTTGTTTTGCTGACATTTTCATTTCATATTTT